TGTTGCTGTGTAAAAAATTACCCCAAATTTAGCTGCTTAAAATAACACACATTTATGATCTCATGGTTTCCATGTCAGGAGTCCAGGCGGGTTTAGCAGAGGCTCTAGTGCAGTGCTGGCCAGGGCTGCACTCCCACCTGGAGGCCCAGCCGGGAAGGACCCACTTCCCCCCCACGGGCTGCCGGCAGCATCCAGCTCTTTGACGCTGTGGGACTGAAGTCTCCAGCATTTTGCTGGCTGTTGGCTGGAAGCTGTTCTCAGATCCTCGAGGCTGCCGCAGTTACTGCCGCGTGGGGATTCCCAGTGCGGCAGCTGCTCCCCCCAGCCAGAGGGAGAGATTCCTGCGTGGTGGGCGCTCTCGTCTTCTGTAACAGAGCCACACACAGGCGGTCTCCTTTGTCATAGTCTATTGCTTAGAGCCAGCCACAGGGCCTTCCCACACTCAAGGAGAGGGTGTCACACAGGAGCATGAACAGGAAGCAGGGAGCATGGGGGCACCTTGAGGTCTGTCCATCACATCCTCTGGTCCTTTTCCTCTTTCTTCTCCTTTCTCCCCCTCCCCCTTCATGTCCACATCCTAGTCTAGGTGCAGACCTGGGGCTTTGCTGGTGAACAAGAGCTTTGCAGTCACGACGCTGACACGCGCTGTCCCTTTATGCCCCGCACCAAGCTAGTTTCCTTTGTAACTTTCTATCCAAGTGTAACACACACAGACAGCAACCTCGTAAGTGTGAAGCTGGATATACTTTCCAGTGTCTGAACGTACCTGCAGCCACCACACAGATCAAACCACAGGATAGTACCAGCACGCCCATTTTTCTCAGGCCCTCTTCCAGTCCCTGTCACCCTCAGGGTGACTCTCTAACACCATAAATGACTTTTATCTGTTTTGTACATTTTATCAATGGAATCCTGCAGCCTGTGTCATGTGTGCCTGCCTTCCCTTATTCATCGTATTGTTGTGGCCTGTGGTTCTAGGCTGTTCATTCTCTCTGCTGAGTGGGATCCCCTCGTGTGAGCACGCCACAGTTTACTTACCATCAGCAGGCTCCGGCGGGAGGCCTCACGAACAGCGCTGCTAGGAGCAGTCCGTGTGTCTTGTGGTAAGCACGCGTAAGCACTTCTCGTACACGTCTGGAGTAGACTTTCTGGGCCGCAGGGTGTTTTGGTGAGCTGTGTTTCTACACACGTCCTCACGTCCCCCTGAGGATGGCACCCCCGCCCCTGGCACCGCAGTACGAGCTGGGCCTCCGGGGCCACGGGTGTGAGAGAGCGGACGGGGGACAAGCCGACTGTCCAGTGTTTTCTCACGGTTGACAACACTCTGTTGGGTGGTTCAGACACTGCCCTTGTCCTGTGTGATGCCCCCTGAAGGTGAGTCACTCCCCACCCCTTCTCTGAGGAGATCCAACACCCGGGTCGTGTCCGAAAGGCCCTGATCTATGATCAGTAAATTAATGTACAAATAATTCACAAATCACTTGGACCAGGCCTAGACCACCATTTTAAACAAAGTTGCAGAGTCCTATCCATTTACTCTGGGCTGGTTCTTAAGCTAGAGTAGGTTATATGAAGGTAGTAGGAACATTTTCCAAACTGCCAGCCAGCGGCAGAGGGATTTCACGCTGCTGCTAAGACTTGGGGGCACTTGCTTCCTCCCCATTTGTCTCTGTTCTTCATCTCCGTCTCTCTGTGTCTGTATAGGTATGGTGTGTATGTCATACGTATCTCTCTAATATATATGCATATATATTCATATACTATATATTAAAGAGACAGAAAAATGTATTTTTATCTCTATAAAAATATTGAGATCCCACTGTGTCTTACATTTTATCAGCATTTTTCCACATGATTAAAAAAATAATTTCAAAATGTGAACTTAAAAAATATACTATTTGAGCCCTGGCCAGTTTGGCGCAGCAGTTGGAGTGTCGGCCTGCTGACCAGAGAGACCCGGGTTCGGATACCACTAAGGGCACGTACCTCAGTTGCAGTTTGTCCCCGGCCCTGGTGGGTTGTGTGGGTGGCAACCACTCGATGTGTCCCTTTCACATCGATGTTTCTCTCTCTCTCTCTTCCTCCCTCTCTCCCACCCACTCTATCTGAAGAGACATGCAAAAATGTCCTAGGGTGAGGATAAAAAAAAAAAAACAACTATTTGATAATCCATCCCACGCAGTCCCATGATTAATTTAGCTAATCCTTTACTTTGGGACATTTAAGCTGTTTTCAATATTTTGCCATTGCAAATAACACTGCATGAAAATGCTTGTACCTCTGTCCCTGGAGACAGCTCCAATATTTTCCTTGGGCTAAATGACAAAACGTTGAATAATCCACCAAACTGGCAGGCTTTCGGATGTTGTCTTTTGAGTCTCATTACCAAACACAAATTCACGCCACTGCCAACAGCGCATGAGAGTATCTTTTTCTGCCCACATTGGTAATTTTCTATTGCAAATAATTTTTCTTAATTTTATAGGTAAACATGACAGTTTGGTTTTAATTTTATGTAATTGATTCCTGGTGAGGTTAAATATTTTTTTTAGGTTTGCTGTCCATTTGTGTTTCTCCTTATTTTGCATTTTGTGCTCCTTTTTTTTTTAAATCCTCACCTGAGGATATTTTTCCATTACTCTTCAGCTAGAGTGGGGGGGGGGGGAGAAAGAGAGAGAGGACACATCGACTGGCTGCCTCCCGCACGTCCCTGACCAGGGCCGGGGACTGCACCGCCATCGAGGCCCGTGCCCCTGACTGGAATCGAACCCGCGGCCCCCTGGTCTGTGGGCCGACGCTCTAACTGCTGAGCCAAACCGGCCAGGGCTGTGCTCCTTCTTGTTTCGTTGTCCCCTTCCCCACAGGAGGCCACCTGGTGCCTGGGCAGGTCCTGCCTCTGCCGCTTCTCCTCCTGTAGCGGGAGTCATGTCAATAGCCCGCAGAGCGCGGTGCCCTCAGTGCTTTGCCGACAGAACACCCGTCAGGAAAATGCATGGTCACGGCCCACCGGTGGCTTGGCCGGCCACATTTGTCATCCCTCCAAACGAGGGTGCCCGAATTCCTCCCAGCTGCAGGCCTCCTGTCCCCCCCAGACTCTGGACACCGCCACTCAGGGCCACCAGGGCAGCGGGGGTGGCCGCAGTGCCTAACGACTTCACCAGGTTCACACGCACGCTGGGGTTTCCGAGACGGTGCCTCAGAGGAAGTGACCCCCACTGCTTTGGGGAAACGAACAGCTGTAAATCAGGTGACAACACGGTGCTGACTTATTTATCCTTGTAAGAGTTTTACGTTCTGAAGTCAGCAAGGGGCCCATTGCCTGATCCATGGCCGATTCGGGGAAGCTCCATCCCTTGCTCAGCAGGATGGACTGAGCGGGGGTTGTGGGAGCCAAGGCACCCCATAGGGCAGAGGCCTGATCGTGCATCTCAGTCCGAACCAAATGTGTCTTCCAGAGCCGTGAGACAGACAGGAAGCCACCAAACAGTGGGAAATTCTTCCTCTCTGTGCTCAAACTGCTCTGGCCTCTCCCTGCCCCTTGGAGCTCCGTCCTTCAGAGGGACTGTTCCTCCGCACGGCAGCTGCCCTGGTGGACGGTGGGGGAGGTGGGGAGGGCCCGGGAAAGAGGAGCTGCCGGCCTTTGGCTGCTGCTAATTAGCGATCAAGGCCAAGCTGAACTCAAGGCCCCATAAAAAACTATGGTACATCATTACAAGAGAACAGTAGGCAGCTACTAAAAATAATGTTTTCAAAGAATTTTTGTAACACTGAAAAATGCTCATGACGTGAAGTAAAATGAAAGAAAAATGCAAAACTCACCTAAAGAATATAGAATGTGATGCACATTATGTCAAAGACTAGCTAGGACTATGGTCAAGTGGTAACCACGATGATTTCTGCAGGTAAGATTATGTTTGTGTTTTATGTTCTTTCTTACGATATTTTCTAAATTTCCTAAATTAAGTATCTGTGATTTTTATTTACCGCCCATCCAATTATTAATATTTGGAACGAGCACGTGTACTGTGTTCTGCCCCGGACCTCTCAAGAGTTTACTGTTCTTACCTGTTCCTCAGTCCTGCCCTCTGAGTTAGGAAGGGGCCTCCTTTCTTCTTTGCACAGATACAAACATGGCAGTCACCTCCTCACCACATACCAGCAGCAAGACCACCCACGTGCTGAGAGCCGATCATGTGCCAGGTACTGGACGGAAACCCCACCCAGCATCTAATCTGATCTTTAAAACAACCCTTTGCCGATGAGAAAGCGGAGCTGCGGCTGGCAGAGTTGTGTCACTGCAGGGACTTCGGTATGGAACTTTCTCACCAAGGGTGACAGCCTACGCTGCAGTAACACACGTCTGCGTGGAGAGACTCGGTGCTGGGACAGGCGCGTCTGCGCACGGAAGCAGGGTGGGGTGCTCCGCGTCAGCGACGGGAGCTCTCGGGCGGCCTCCGCTGTGCCCCTTGCACCCCCCGTTAGGCTGACTGGCGGTATTGATGATTTGAGACACCAAGCACTGTGCAGGCTCGGGGCCCCTGTGGATGACTGGTGGGTCCCTGGGGACTTGGGTCTTTTCCTGCAGTTTGTCTGGAGTGTGACAGCAGATTGGGCCTCACCGGGGCCCTACAGCCCGCTGTTGGGGGGGGGGGCACAGTGCATGGGACTGTTTGGAGCTGATGCTGTGAACGCTGAGTATCCCAGACAAGTACATCCCACCTGCTATCACCTGCAATTACAGAATTACAGTTTACTTACTCTACTAATATATGGAAAAGTGCAAACTACCCATACAAACATTGTTTCTAATTTTAATGAAACAAAGGCGGTTCATCACGAGGCCACGGGTACAAGGTTAACCAGTTCCAAATGAAATTCGAATGCTGTTTTCTAAAAAGTTGCTTGAACCTTGAGTGCTGGTCTGCCTCAAGCCACAGCCTGGGAAGAGGACCCAATGGGGGCTTAAAAGCTCAAGGGTGATTCTTCTTCCCGGGTCAGGGTCACATGCTCTTGAGGTCCCCAAAGACCACGCGGGCTGCATTGCGTCCAGCGGCTCCCATGACGCCTCCTCCTGGAAGGGCACCTCCATGCACCAAAGCCGCACCCTCCCCCACCCCCCAGGGAGCGGGCAGGGCCAGGGCTGGCAGAGGAGCCAGTGGCCCAGCGGAGTGGGGGTGCTCGAGGGAGCCATGGGCGTCAGAACCACCCTGACAACGGTGAAGACAGATTCGGGATCCCCTGCAGGTTGCCTGCCTCACAGCTCTGGGGAGGGGCCTGGACACACAGTCCAAGCAAGTGTCCCCTCTCGGGCTGAGAGCCCACGTGCTACATGGAGAGACAGCGCGTGACACCGAGCGGGAGGCCGAGGCCTTGAGGAGGGGGGGGGGGTGCAGGGCCTCCGGGGCTCGGGGCCCACTGGGCGGACAGTGTCGGGATGAACGGGCAGCCTCGGCGAGGTCAGTTAGCTCGGGACAGGTCAGTTAGCTCGGGACAGGTGCAGGGGAGAATTTTTAAATTGAGAAGCTTAACTTCGCCGATCCTTCCTGATCTAAATGAAGAAGGGGGACTTAGGGACATGGGTCTCCCACAGTCCCAAATTAGATTTGGAGAGATGCCTCGGGGGCAGATCCCTGAAGCTCACGAGGAGGTGGTGGAGGAGGTGGTGTGAGCTGGCTGAGCTGCGGGCTGCAGCCAGCATGGCAGAGGCCCCCATGCTTACCCGAGCTCTGTGAGTTTGGAATGTGGGGGCGGCTTGTTCTTGTGGCAGTCCCGTGCACCCTCCCTCTCTCCCTCGCTGTTTATCCTGTCCCACTGTCTGCATGCCTGATGTCCACCCAGCCCTCACCACCCACACAGGTGATGGGACGGAGGGGCGCTCACCAGGATGGGCCCCACTTCCGCAGAGATACAGGCCCGGGACGGGGCAGCGGTAGCTGGAGTGCAGGGGCACCGGGCGGGCGAAGTACAGCTGGTCCAGGGTCATGGCACAGTGGAATATGTTCTGCGGGAGGCAGGGCCACAGTTGTTAACATAGGAGTTTTGGGTCTTGACTGTCCTGCGTGTTTCTTCCCCTCCCCTGTTCTCCGAGGAAGGTTCTCCTTCCAGATTTTTCTCCTGGTTCTGATGCAGAAGGGGGAGAAGAGCGAGAACAGGTACGCGTCCTAGGGCTGGGGTGAAGCTTGCCAGAGGCAGTTGTTTTTCAGGAAGAAAGAAGGTGGGAGTGTCTTCAGTGAGGAGACTGAATGGAAAATTTTAAAGGGAGATTTTAAATGTATTGCTGTGGACTGTGAATTCCCCTCAGCCTGTTTGAAAACAGAAAAATTTGACTTATTTTGGCTGCTGGCACATGTTTTTTTTGACCAAGAAATCCATCTGAGCCTGGGCCCCGGGGCTCCAGGCTGCAGCAGGAGCCCAGTAAGTGGCAGGCAAAAGGCACTGGGACCCGAGCTCGGTTCTGCTCCAGTGGCCTGGGTCGGACCAGCCTAGGGGGAGGTCAGGCTGGCGGGGCAGGTCTGGAAGGAAGATCAGCATCTGTGGGACGTCCCTGGGGATGTCCTTCCAGCCAGCATGTCCCAAACTGAGCTCATCCTCCCTCAAGCCTGCTCTCCCTCCTTCCCTGCCTCCGTGGACGACCCCACTCGCCTCCGCCTCCAGGCTGGGTCCTTCGGTCACCTCCACCCTGCCCCCGTGCACACTGTTACCGAGGCAACACATCTCAGTTTGGCGCAGGCACGTGGAAGCCACGTGAGGCGCGGCTGCGGTGCTGGAACGGGCCTCCCCACTCGTCTGCCTCCAGTCAGAGAGTCTGAGGCACTGACTGGAGTCTGAGACCTGCTGTCTTAAGGAAGGAGCTGCCTCTGGAGAGATCCAAATGGGACAGGCTGGCGCGGACGTCCAGGCGAAGAGCCACATCCCGGCGACGTCCCAGCTGGCGCTGTCTCTGTCTCTGTGTCTCCCAACTCGTCCCCACGCCCTAGACCTGACCCCTCCTCTGTCCCCCTCCACCATGGTCTCTGCCACGGGTCTCCCTTCCGCTGAGGGCACGCCAGCAGGGGGGTGCACAGAGGAGAATGTGACGAGGAACCCCAGACTTGTTCTTACCCCTCCAGGAAGCCCAAAGATCCTCTCCAGATCAGGTGGCATGAGGATGTCCCGGCCCAGCACGGAGGCCTGGAAGCCGGGGGCGTAGGCCTCGATGCAGGCGAACACTGGCCGGCCGGCGGGGCAGCGGTGTGAGGAGGAAGAGGAGACGGTACGGTTCACAACTTGGCAAGGTTACTACAATCCATTAAGCTAGACACTTCCTCATTTTAGCATATGCAAATTATATCTCAATAAGCCAAACAATATACAACAACACACCAGTCCACAGGCAAATTCAGTACAAAGATCTGTGGACCTCAGACTAGTCCGGTCCCCCTCTTCCCCACCTCCCTGCCACAACCCCGAAACATAAAGTTATTGGTCTCCCCTTGACCACGCAAAGCTTTCTTCACCTCGTCGCTTTGCCCAAGCTGTTTCTTTTTTTTTTTTTTTTTAATCCTCACCAGAGGATATTTTTCCATTTTTTGTACGATAGAGTGGGAGGGAGAGAGAGGGAGGGAGAGATAGGGAGAGAGAGAGAAACATCGACGTGAAGGGACACATCGAGTGGCTGCCACCCGCAACGACCAACCAGGGCCGGGGACAAACTGCAACCGAAGTACGTGCCCTTAGCGGGAACCGAACCCGGGTCTCTCTGGACCGCAGGCCGACGCTCTAGCCGCTGAGCCAAACTGGCCAGGGCCCAAGCTGTTTCTTTTGCTTGGACTGCCCTTTGCCGCCTGGCTCGCTCCTACGGACCCCGCGAGGCCCGCTCCGAGGCCCCTCCTTTGGAAAGCCCTCCTGTCTCCTGGCTCCTGGCTTCCTCCTCGGCCGCACAGTACTGGGTGCTGGACGACTGGTTTCCTCACTACTCCGCCCGCTGGGCTGTGGGCAACCTGAGGGCAGGAACTGTGTCTTCCTGACTTTCTTAGCCCAGTGCCCGACCTTTGCCTGACCCTAAGTGGCCTACGTTGACTTAGGGTCCCTGGGCTACTTCTCTGCCCTTGGGACAGAACCTGAAGGTGTCAACACCGAATAGTCACTACCAGTTGACACTGGCAGTCGGAAGGAGAGGGGTCCGTTCAGACCCCATGGCCAGCTGTCAGGGCGGCCCGGCCTCTTTACCTTGGTCTGCGTAGGCGTTTCTCTCCTGCTCATCCCAGACTCTGCCTCCGGCCAGGGTGTAGGGAGTGTACTGCGTGAAGAGGGAGACCACGTGGCAGCCGGGGGGAGCCAGGCTGGGGTCCAGCGAGGAAGGGATGCAGAGCTCAATCATAGGCCTGGACGGGAGGCGAGGTGGTCAGACCTGAAGAGGCAGTCGTCCTGGGGGCGGGGCCTGGGTGCAGTGGCCACTAGGAGAGTCCAGACTACTCCTGAGGCGCTCTCCTGGCCCCAGGCCCCGGTCTCTGGTCCCACCCAGCCCTGGATATGTGGCCTGCCCCTGCCTTCCTCTGCCACACAGCCCGTCGAAGTCAGGGTCTCACAGGCCTCAGGGTCCAGAGACAACACGGAGGAGGAAGGGCCAGGCTAAGACAGCAGGTGCTCGGGCAGCCAGACTGCAGTTGCTCCCGCCCCCCCTGATCACCTCTCCGGGCCAGCACAGCCGAGCTGCTGGGGCAGCCTGGCCCCCGGCAGAGCTAGACACGGCTTCCTGCCCCTCCCTTGTTGACAACACCTGTTCTCCTGGAGCACACGCTTCCTCTGGCCTCCAAACACGACCACCCCGAAGGCCACATGAAGTGCCCTTCTCCGGGCATCCCTCACTTGCAGCGTTTCCTCTGATGTCTACTGGGCATCTCCAAAGTAGCCTTTCCAAACCCAAATGCCTGGTATCCCCTGGAACCTGCTCCTCCCTGCACAGACCATCTTCACATCATCTCCTTGTAGCTTCTTCCTCGTTCACATCCCACTTCCTGTCCAACTGCAAACCCAGGCAGCTTTACCTTCAAATACCCAGCATTTGGCTACTTCTCCTCACTTCCCCTGCTCCTACCCTGGTCCAAGCCGCTATCCTCTCTCCCTTGGATTTTGTAATAGTACCAATTGCCACAGATGCCCCTTTTCTCCACAGTGGCCACAGTGGTCCTTCTAAAGTGTAGGTCAGGCTCTGCGCCAAGTTCCCTGGAGTGAAATCCAGGAGTGGTTAACGCGGCCCAGCAGATGTAGCAGCTGCAGCTCAGGCCCCACCTGCTACCCTTCACTCCCAGGTTCTTTCTCCAGCCCCTCCGGCCTCATCCCTGTGCCTCCAACACCCTTCTGCCCCAGGGCCTTTGCACCTGACTTTCCCTCTGTCTGGATGTTGTTCCTTAGACACCCACACACCTGTATTCTCGCTTCTTTCAGGTCTCTGCTCAAATGGCATGTTATTAGCAAAGCCTTTTCTGACCTCCTAATACAGACTAGCAACCCTTCCCCTCCCCGACCTATTTTTCTCCATATCAGCAAGTGCATGTTTGTTGACTCTCGTCTTCCACCATAATGTGTCAGTGACCCGAGGGCAGAGGCCCTGTTGACTTTGCTTGCTGCTTTGCACCCATGCCCCTGAACTAAGCCTGGCACAGAGTAGGGGCCCCGAAGTGGGTGAGTGGACTTTGCCCTCTACCCTTCTCTCAGGGCACACGTCCTCTTTACCTCACGCTATGAACATTCGTGTGCCTGTCTTATGATAAACTTGGCATCTGTCTCAAGCCCCCACCCAATCCCCGATTCCCCCAGCTTATGCCTATACGGAGCCTGGCGCGGTAGGTCTTCCACAGTCTCGGTGGACAGTCCACAGCACCCCTGCCTGTTCCTGGAAGGCTGGAGACATGGCTGCGGAACAGTGGGAGGGGATATGCTTTTGCAAGTTTGCCTGCAGGCAGCCTGCTGGGCTAGAAGAGAATGTGGAATTGGGCGCGCGTCTCGGGACTGGCCCCGCCAGGCGTGCGCTCCAGTCCTTCCCAGACGCCAGCACTGTTCTCTCCGCAGCCCTTTGCTCCTGCCGGCCAGCGCCGGACCCCTCAACCTCGCCTGCCCTGGCCACAGACTTCGTGCCTGGGCTGCAGTTCTAGCCTTAGAACCTGAGTATGGATTGAGGCAGATCCCACGTCATTGTGAATATTTAACACCAGGAGGAAGGAACAATCCCTACTGTGAGTGGACAGTCACCCCCACCTCCCCAGGACTGGGAGTGAGAACACCCCAGGGGACACAAAGCCACAGAGCCCAGGGACCACCCACTTGTGGGAGGGCCGGCCATCCATGGCGTCCTCGAAGGCCTGCTGCAGCAGGTGGGTGTCTTCACAGTTCAGGTGGATGGAGCACTGGTGATGGGGCAGCGGCTGGCCCCCGGGAGCGTTGGGGGCCGCCGAGAAGTCAGGCAGCCTGTCGACAGCCACTGAGAAACAAAGAGGGGGAGAGGTCAGGGCCCAAAGGCCTATGTCCTCAGCGCCCTGGGGTCCTCCTCCTCTCCCCACCACCCTGCTCACCCAAGTGTCAGACTGGGAAGAGAAAGTATGGAAAAGTGTTTCTTCTTCCAAGTGGGGACAGGCTAGTGGTCAGGGATAGAAATGATGAGGTAGGTCAGTTTCCCCAGATGCTCACACACACTGTCAAAGACACAGCCCTGTGGGGTTTGCCTCTTACCGTTGATCTTGGTAACAGGTGACCGGCAGTCCAGCCGAGAGATTCTCTCCACGAACTCTTCAGGCAGCCGCTCCTGGAAGCAGACGTTTCCATAAAACCTTGGCCCCAAAGCGGCTGCCTTCTTTCTTTGCTCACACCGGTCAGTCTCCAGACCTCGCCTCCAGAAATGCCCTCATCCTTCAGAGCCCAGGCAGACCCTGTTCCGTGAAGCCCTCCCCGTCCCGCACAGCGCCAACCCCTCTCCCCTGGGCCCCGCCATCCTGGCTGTGATGGCCACGCTAACTCCGCTGGAGGTGTGGCCGTGGTCTGCAGGCCGCTCGTCCTCCCGTCTGGAACTCCTGAAGTCCTGTGATCTCAGGCGTCTCTTAACAAGATGCTCTGAACGGATGCTTGTTGGATTTTATTAGTGGAATCGCTCAGAAAAAGTGGTGCTTGTCCCAAGAATAGTCAATCCCCCAAATGGCCGGGAGCTCCGTGCTCACACACGTTACCATGTACTTTAGGGACCAGGGAGGCACTCACTCCTCCCTGGATGTACGCCCCTTTGTATGCCCCCCGCTCTGACTCTGGGGTTGGTCATGAGACGAGACCAAGGTTAGTAAACAGGATGCAGACAGAAGCCTGGACAGCCCTTGCATGGGTGAGCTTGCGTTTTCCTTCTGCGAGATGCTGAGAACACGCTAGAGGATGACGGACACGTGGAACAGAGCTCAGCACCCGGTCATTCGGGCAGACGGCGCCCTGCACGAGAGGCAGCGAGCCCAGCCCAGGTCAGCAGGCCACTAGTTGACTCAGAGCTGACGGCAGGTGTACAAGTGAGCCCGTCAGCTGAACGCTGCCGAGATCAGCTGAATTTTCCAGCTCTCTGCTAAATCAGTATGTCTCGTGATGCAGCATTCACGCGGAAACAGATAACCGACACTGACAGAGGCATTAGAGTTGGTTAGAAGGGAGAGACCAGGGCAGCAGGAAAGTGGCGGGAATAGCTCGGTGTAGGGAGTCAGCCTGGATTCCGGCTCTGGCTCTGTCCTCCGCCACCCGCGTGGCCCAGGGCACCGCACGGACACTTCTCCTCACTGTGAGGCTTCTCCCTGTTTGCTCCCTGCCTGCTGGGTAGGAAGGGGACAGACTGGCCCTGGCTCTCCCACCCTGATGCAGTGCTGGCTCCCTCAATCACCCCTGTTTTCAGCCCGTCTCGGCAGAGACCTTCACCTCCACCCCAGCTCACCTGTGGCAGCAGCTGCAGGAAGGTGACCTGCGGCGACGCGTTGGACAGCACCACCTTGCTCCTCACCTCTGAGCCGTCCTGCAGCACGACTCCTTGGGCGCGTCCCCCGCGGCTCACCTGCACCTTAGCCACGGTCTAGACCCCACAGAACGAGGCCCAGGAACCCCCAGAAAGGAAAACTAGGTAAGATCTCGAAGGATTTCCACTGTCTCTGCTGCTGCCAGACTCACAGCTTCCTCATCCCGAGTCCACCCTGCCGAGCTCCGCAGCTGCGCGGTGGACCCTCAGCCCACCCTCTCCAAGGGGAAGGCTCGGCCCTGGTGGACCACTGCTGGGAACTCAGAGGAGGTGGCAGAAGAGCTGGGATCCGGTTGACAGCTGCTCAGCTGGTAACAGGCTGCCTAACCTGAACCCCTTGACTCCGAGCCCCGCCTTGTCCATCAGTAAAACGAGGGAACTTCCAACCCAAGATCTTGTTCTATCCTAGGATCCTAGCCAATGATCAGAGTAGGGGGTGCAGGGGCCACTCACCTTTTCAGTGAAGATACTTGCTCCGTGTGCAGTGGCTGAGCTTGCGATGGCATCAGAGAGGGCACCCATGCCACCCTGGACGTAGCCCCAGGCCCCTCGCGTGCCCTCCAGGCCGCCCATCACGTGATGCAGCAGCACATACCTAAGGGCAGACCATCAGAACCAGTGGCTGGAGGTGGGATTCACTCTCCCAGAGTTCAAGGTGCAAATATTCCATCCGGTCTTGTACCTGCAGCCTCTCCCTTCCCCACCCAGCCCTGTCCCACTAGGTTCAAGGAGCTCCAGGCTCCTGAGAGTCCTTTGCCCTCCTGCGTCCTCCCCCCGTGCAGACGTGTCCACGCGCAGCTTCGGAACCAGCAACGTGGTGGCGCCACCCAGACCCAGAGCTCCGGCGCTCTCCTGAGCCCCAGCCCACTTGCCCAGCTCCTTGCAGGTATCCCCACTGGAATGGCTCTTGGCAGGTATCTTAACCCCAGTCCTTGCCCCCAGCCCCCAACCTGTTTCTCCTTTCATCTTCCCCAGCCTAGCGAATGGCATCTGGTTTCCAAAGAAACCTGGATGTCAGTCTTGCCTCCGGCTCCTCTCACGGGCTCCGTCCAGCCACGTGCTGCCAACTCTGCCCCTGCGCCCCCGGCTCCTCCCCTGGCCCAGGCAGCCTCTTCTCTGCCTAACCGGCTGCAGTAAGGTCTTCCTGATCGGACCGCCTTCTCTCGCTCCTTCTTCCCTGCAGACTTTCCCGTGCAGAACCTGGAGCCCATCTCGAAACCCAGTTAGCCGTGCTCCTGTCCCTTCTCTCCTGTCGAGCCTTCCCTGCTCGCCGTTGCTCTTCGGGCCATGGCCAGGCTCTGGAAATGGCCCCCGGGCTCCTGCCTGCTCATCAGCCTCATCGCTCACCGTGCTCCCCCACACCCCTCTCCTACCAAACTGAACCTCTTTCAGTCCCTTGAAGGGACCACAGTGTCTCGACTCCCAGCGGTAGCACACGCTGTTCTGGCAGCCCCCTCCCTCCTTCATCTTTGCTGAGAGTCTCAGATGAAATCTCTCCCTCGCGGAGGGCTTCTCTGCCCCTGGAGCAGCCGGCCCCGTGCCTGCCTGCGTCCCCGATCCCAGCACTCCACCAGCTCCGTCTGCCTCCCAGCACTGCAGCTCCGCTTACTACTGTGGCCTCAGCACCTGGACAGGCAAGTGCACCCTCCATATTTATGGAAAGAATTAATGAAGAAACAAATTACTTAAAGGAACATTTTACAACCTGGGCAGTAGCTAAGCCTCCTGGAGCCCCACAGCGAGGAGGAGAGGAGGCCCAGATGGAAGATCCAAACGAGCTGTTTGATCCCAGAGCTTGGCCAAGGTGTGGCAACTGCTGCCAACCCCCCTTTCCCACAGCCCGGAGGAATTTGGGGCTGGCTTCGTGTGTGCTAAAAACCACTTCTAAGGGCTGCTCTCAGCCCTGGGGAGAAAAGCCACACTGACAGCTTCTAGCTGCATCTCCTGGTGCATTGGGCTTAACACCCGGCAGCATCCTCTCCAAATACACATACACACACACAGAAGCGTGCGCGCGTGCATGCTCATCTGCGCACATTCACACACGTACGCTCACACACATGCACACACGCACACATGCGCACACGCACACACTCACACACGCACACCCACACACACATGCACACGTACACTCACACACATGCACACACGCACACATGCGCACACACACACACTCACACACCCACACACACATGCACACACACGCACACACTCGCACACCTCGCTTCCTGCTCCTACAGGGGCTCCCTGAGCCCTGGACTGCCCCCTCTCGGATCGGGCCGTCAGCACACCTGCACGCACAGAGGGACAGGCAGCTTCCTGCTTACGGAGTGTCTGTGAGTGAGCGTGTCCTGGGACCCAGGGACATGACCGGTGGCAGGAGGGGGACAGGCTTCCTGGGAGGGGAGAGGTAGGAAGGGAAATGAGCGAGGGAGAGGAGAGGAGAGTGAGAACTATTCATGTGGGTGCCACAGTGGGAGGTGGGCAGGAGGTTTCTCAGTGAGGACTGAAGAGCAGCGGCTCAGCAGCAGAACTGGGGGGTCAGACAACTTGGGCTGCGAATTAGTTCTGCCACTTAGCAGCTGCGTGACTTTGGGCAAGACAATGTAGTCTCTGAACACGGCTCTTAGATACTAGCGTGAGGGTCAGGAGGGTCGTGTGCAGTGCGTGGCTTCGCGCTGGCCGCGGGGTGAGCGGTCAGTGATCGCTGTTACCGCTCTTTGTGGGCAGCTCGCCTCCCGCACTCACCCACTCCCTGGGGTGTGGGGACTTGTCATGGCTCCAATCACGGCATCTGTTGCTAGAGTGGCTTTTAGAGGCTCGGACTCAAACCACTGATCCAGCACCTGGGACAGCAGAACAGCAGGGAGAAGAGCTTAGGGGTGTTGGGGGGATAGACCCCTCACTGCGAGGCCAGCCTGAGGCTGGGAGCCCCTCACCTTGGTGATGGGAGCCGTGAGGACCTGGTAATACTGGGGCAGCCGGGCTCCCAGGATGCGGCCTGAAACAGAAGACCATGAACAGGCTGAGGGCACCTCGGATCTGCAATATGGCTGCACTTGTTTCTTTGTAAAATGGAGTAATGTATCCGGAGCCTACTGTGTGGGTTAAGTGAGAGATGTAAGAAGCATGCATGCCCATAGGCACTTAATACATTTTAGCTGCTGGAATTATTTTGGAAAAATTTTCCCTTTATCTTATTCCCTTCCGGTGACCTCTGTGAGGCCTGTGCCCCGGGCGGTGGCGGCTCGGCCAGTCCACTCCTCGATGCTGATCCCCAGCATCAGAGCGCGACTGGGCAGTGAGGCCGTGAGGGCGGGGCTCCGGATCTCTAGCTGTTGTAGCCCCCGTGCCTGCTTCATGTCTGGCACACAGTAGGTGCTCAACGAATGTTCGTTGCGTGAATGGTTATTGTATGAAGCTCTCTGGACTGGTCATCTGAGAGGCAATGTCTGCTTTCAGTGTGTATGATAGATTCTGTTGGCTGATCCTTTACCCACATCTACACACTTTGCCATGGGGCGCTGACATGCCCCCCACCCTAGCTGGGATGCTCCTCCCTGCTCCTCGATTCCGGACTCATCCACAGGGTTCGCTTGGTCAGTGGAATGTTTTCAGCTGTGATGCAAACAGTGGCTTGAACCTGGCCTGCACACTGAGGCTGGCGCCCCGAGCTGCTGCCATGCATAGGAGGCCACGCCTAGGCTAGCCTGCAGCTTCCAGGAGGAGGAGAGGCCCCTGGAGCAGAGCTGGACCTCACAATGCGCCCCAGCCACAGACCCATGCACGAGACCCAGATCAGCTGAGCCCAGCCGGGATCAGCTAAACCATGCAGATTTGGGAGAAATGAATGTTTATTGTTATACGCCACTGGAGTTTCACGGTTTTATGCAGCGATTTTGTGATCATAGCTAACTGTTATAGTATTTTGCAACTGGTCTTCACACCCTAGAGGAGCAGTAGGAAAGAACAGCATGCTTAGGGAAACTTCCCTTCTCGGAGCCACGGCAGACATCACCAGTTGATCACAGCGTCTTTTCTTGCTGAGCCCAAACCTAGCATCCTCTTTGTGTGGGACACCTCTTCAAACCCTCTGGCCTCCTCTCAGTCAGCGTGACCGACGCAGCCGACAGCGTCTCCCTCATGCCTGGGAGATGCGCCTCTTCATTGCTGTCTTGGGGCTTCTCTGGCCCCAGGACAGGACACCCACAAAAAGCCACTCGACACCCATGGATGCACAGCCCTACGTGGGAGTTAACACCCCATGGGAGACAGACTCTGACGGGGAGGGCTTCCCTTTCCTCTCTTGGGAATGGCCCTCACGTGCATCTCATCGGGCTTCCAAGGTCCTCGGGGGACCCAGCCCCTCGTCACCGCATGGCGGCCAGCACAGCAGCGCGCCCTGGTGGCGACTCCCCCTCTTCCCAGCCTCCCTCCTCCTTTCCCTGGATCACCCTTCAAAACGGACTGCTTGTTCACAAGCCTGGTGTCGGGCTCTGGCTCCAGGGCACACCCAGCTAGGACGTCCGCGTGACGTGCTCCAGCAGCTGTTAATGCACGGCAGGCCTGGCTGCCTCGGAGGGTCAGCCGCGGAGGAAGTGGGCTCGGCTCCATGAAGGTCACTCATCGTGCCCTGACGCGGAGCTCGGCACTTACCTGCCCGCAGCAGGGGCATGAGGGCGGAGAGCGACCTGAGCCGTCGCAGCAGGGAGCCCTGCCAGAAGGCCTCCGTGTCCACGGGCGCGGCGTCCAGCAGGGGCTCAGCGGCCAGCGCCAAGCTGTTCATGAAGGCCTCGTATTTGGGAAAAGCCTGGAACAGAGCCCCAAGTCAAGGCCCCATTGCCTAAAAGGAGACATCGCCCCGCTCCCTGCCCTCCATGCTGCCCCCATGTGGCCAGCTGCCCCTCGGCCGAGCCTGGGGTTCCTCTGGCCTGATGCGGAGCTGTCTCAGCGAGACTGCGCTGAGTTCTCCCTGTTCTAGGTCTGCGTGCTGACGGCCACCGCAGGGGAGGCAGGGGAGCCTGGGCAGCGGGAGCCCTTGGTGGCAGCAGGAACAAGGGCCAATGCTGGCCAGGATGAGTCATCAGCCACAGAAAACTCTTCAGTACTTAGGATGTGGTCTCTGTGATAAACCAAGAACTACCGAAGAGTTTCTTCTCTCCTGTGTGTCCGTATGTTACTAATGAAAAGTAAGGTCTCTTCCCCTGCATCCCAGCACTGACTGTCCTTTCCCGGTCTGCAAACCTCCCGGGGCCTCTCACCGTAGCTGCAGCGTCACCTGCATCCCGTCACCCAGCTCCATGACAGAATCCACCTCCGCACCCACCCCTCCTTCGCGGGACGGGTGTCGGGCCTGTGCCGGATGCCTGTGCACGGGAGGCCGCATCTTCATTTTGGGCCCAGAGCTTTCGATGTCCGGTTCATCTACGCTCACAAATATACCCATGGCATTTTAATAATTGTCACGTGAAGAAAAGTCTTGTGTTGAAGTACCTCTGAGAAGTCTTAATAATATGAAGGTAAACAGCTTTCTCTGCCGCAGGCCTTGGCTACGACAATGCACAGAGCCAGGGCCAGATTCAGGCTCCTTCCTGTGCACGGGGGATGGGCCCTGCCTCCTGCCCGGTGCTCGGTGGCACTCAAGGCCACAGCCATGGTTCTGTAGGCCCAGGGACTCGACTTCGTACCAAGTCCTCTCTGGTGCATCTGAGATGGGCAGGATTTGGAGAACAGGGTGTAGTCAGTGGTCCCCAATCCGCTGCACAAGAGTCACTTTGAAAAAAAGCAAAGCTCCCCAGGTGATTCTGACTGTCAGCTGGTTCCGAAATTGCTGGTTGAAAAGATACACTGTGTGTCTGTGGTTTTACTCAATGCTGATTAGCACAACCAAAAGCAGCACACATGGATCGTATGCACCTAGGTTTTTCTTATAAACATGTCAGCACCCAGATATGAGTTAATGCTATGCCTTCAGCTTATACCTAGGCCTAGTAAAAAAAAAAAAAAGCTATTCAAGGAATCTTTTTATATCTGTAAAACCAATCACACCGGGCCCATTACATTCAATAACTCATTAGACAAAGCTACCCAACAAGTTCCCTCTAATGCAATCCCGAGGAAAAAGCAAGCACTGCGTCAGGGGGGCATCCTTCCAGCAGGCCCGCCGGCCCTCACGCACAGTTCTTGCCTTGGGCTGCCAGGGGATTGATGCCAAATCGAATGAATATTTATTACAACTCTCTTGTCCTAAAGTCCTGATCCAGTTCATTCTATCCTTAATCGTCTCCATCCACCCTTGATCCTTCTTCTTGGCCTTCGTGAGCTTCAGTATTGACAACCACTCAGAGGCACACGCAGAGTGAGCACAGCCCAGCGGGTTCCCTTCTGAAACTCAGCGGGCAGAGGCCACCTGAACAGTGGCCGCATACTGAGCACACGCAGGTTTGAGGGGCTCCAGTGTCCCCTGGTCTTAACCACTGACCTTCATTCCCTTCGCTTCGAAGCGCCCAAGGTCGAAGCGGCACAGGCTGGCACCCTCCTAGGGCAGGTGGGGTGGCCGGTCCGAACCCCCCGGCCCTCAGGCACCTGCTCTAGGACAACTCCCTCGGCCCCTTTCCTTCCAAGAGCCACCTGCAGGCTGGAGAGGGAGGGAGAGATCACTGGTCACTTTCCCTACCTGGGCATCCTTCTGCGAGAACTGGGCAATCTGCTTCTGGTTTTCTGCCATGTCCATGCCCAAAAGCAGGGACTTGGTGCCTTCTTTCAGCATGGGGGTGAAGGAGTAGGGGTTTCGAAGATGAACCCTCAGCCCATGTTTCTGCAGAACACAGACAGGACACGTAACATTTAAAGGGATTTGTGGCCTCTGCCCTTGACCCTTCTCTGATTGTGTTTATGACCATCCAGATAACACACGACGCCACACCACACCACACCACATCACATCATGTCACATCATATCATGTCATACCACGCCACACCACACCACATCACATCATATCACATCATACCACGCCACACCACGCCACACCACACCACATCACATCACGTCACATCATATCATGTCATACCATGCCACACCATGCCATACCACACCACACCACACACACATCACATCACGCTATGCCATGCCACACCACACCATATCACATCACGTCACATCATATCATGTCATACCACGCCACACCATGCCATACCACACCACACCACGCCATACAATCACATCACATCACGCCACGCCACACACACCACATCACATCACATCATATCACATCACATCACGTCATACCACACCACACCACGCCACACCACACCACGCCACATCACATCACATCATGTCATACCACACCACACCACGCCATACCACGCCACACCATGCCATGTTATATCATGTATACCATGCCACACGGTGCCACCCTGTGCTAGGGACTGTCCTGGGGCTTACAGTGGTTAGCTTACAACAACTCTGCATCATCTTTATTGTACAAATGCAACAATATAGGCTCAGAAAAGTTAAATAACGTGCCCAAGGTCACACTGGGAGGTGGGCTGGGTTTCAGAACCACACCTCTGGGACTCCAGAGCCCGGGCTCATTCCCAGCACTAGTCCACAGGTACCCCCACTCCAGAAATAAATAATTAAAATTTGGGAAGACACAATAAAGCAACAGTTATGTGAAAATCCATACTTACATGGTAGATAAATTATTCACATCAAAAAATTTTATTTACTTCGCAGACTCATTTACTCCAGGGTCACCTTGAATGGAAGTTTCCCTGATGCATTTAAAATATGGTTTGAGCCCTGGCCGGTTTGGCTCAGCAGTTAGAGCGTCGGCCTGCGGTCTAGAGAGACCCAGGTTCGGTTCCCGCTAAGGGCACGTACCTCGGTTGCAGTTTGTCCCCGGTCCTGGTTGATCATGCGGGTGGCAGCCACTCGATGTGCCCCTTTCACATCGATGTTTCTCTCTCTCTCTCTCTTCCTCTCTCTCCCTCCCACACTGTCTGTACAAAGAATGGAAAAATGTCCTCGGGTGAGGATATAAAAAAAAAATATATATATATATATGGTTTGATTTACAAACATTGGAGTAACACACACAACTTTTCAGGGGCACATCTTTTTAAAAAAAAATAAAGTGAATAATCATGTGAAAATTTCTATTCTGTGATTCTTAGTTTTCAGAAGCTACATTATTTTCCCCCACAAGGAGCGTCTACCCCCCCGCCCCCCTGCATAACTAGCGCGGTTGCAAAGTGCCCTCAGCTGGGCCAGGTGCGCACTGGACCAGGGACCACGCCAGTCCTGGGTGGTGATAGGCTCTTTTTTCTCTCTCTCTCTGGCTCAAAGAACAATTTCTTCAGTGCATTTCTGTAGTTATCTAGTTCGGAAAACTCCTGTACATGAATCAGTTCAAGCTGCCAAAGAGCTGTGAACTGTGGCTCAACATCTTACTAATTTCAGACTTTCAATTTAGAGCAAGTCGGTGCTAAAGTGCCCGGCAGCGTCCTGCGCAGATGGCCCAGGGGACCCTTTCCTCTTGGGTGGCAGAGGCACTGAGCAGGGAGGAGCTAAGTGGGCTCCAGGGAGGCGGTGAGCAAAGTGTACAGAAGAGGCAGTGAGGGGTGGAAGGACTTGGGGGGGGGGGGACAGCCAAGCCTGTGCACCCAGGCTCAGCTAAGAGAGGTCAGCACGGCGGTCTGAGAGGTTTCAGATGCCTTCGCAACAGCCCAGGGGCCAGAGGAGGTGAAAGTCCCTCCAGCTTCCTGCTCAGGCTTCCAAGAATGGTAACAGGATCTAAAGTTTAAGCAGCTCACGTCCTGAGACAGCTTTGCAAACTCAGAGACTCGAAGGTTCAGGTAGGTCCCCTGTGAGGGCCAGACAGATGCCAGAGAGCGGGGGACAGGGGAGGGACCCCCATGTGGGGTATCAGTGCTGCGTGGAGGAACACGGGCCTCATGTGCACAAAGCTCATCCGCCAAAGTGAGTTTGAGTTTCATGTGAAATTTCCCAATTTTTAGGACACTGGTGGGCTAGACAAACCCTCAGATGGGAGAGAGGCCTCAGGTGCAGGGATCATCGTGGGCACCTCGCATGGAGGCTTCACCCCTGGTGGGAAGATGAAACTGACCCCCACCCCGGCGGGCCACACAGGGGCTCTACCTTCAGCTCCAGGTCAGTGTAGATCTGTGGCCTCAGCAGGCTGAGAAGGTAGGACGCTCGGGAGAACTTAAACCCTGAAACCAAATCAGATGAAGACAGTCACCAGTGGTCACCGACAGTCACCCCTGCACCTGCCCCTACACCACCTTTCGGGGCTCACCTGGAATGATCTCCTCAGTGACAGCCGCGCCCCCGATCACATGGCGTCTCTCAAAGACGGCTGTGTTCACCCCCAGTCTCTGCAGATAGGCAGCCTGGGGGGACACAGGGCCTCCTTCATCCTGGGGGCTGACCCCGGTCTCAGGGTCCTCGCTACAGGGCCAGCCTGCCACCCCTCGGCTCATGCCATTGTCCTTGCTTCCCGGTGGGCTCTCGCCTTCCCAACCGTCTTCTAAGGTCCGACCTGGCTGTTCCTGCCCCTCTACTTCCCATCTGAAGGTCACCTCCCTCCCACCAGGCAGGCGCCTCTGTGAACTCCGGCCTCTCCCCTCCAGGCGGGCCAGCCTCACCCCTGCTCAAGCCCGAGGGCTGACAGACCCTGCCCACCCCTCTCTCCTCCTGGGCCGCCCAGCACCGGCCCACCTGGCCTCTGTTCCCACGGTTCCCACGGTTCCCACGTGCAAAATGGGCGATGACAATAGCACCCGCCGCTCCTGCTCCGCTGGGCTGTGAGCGGCTCACCGAGCTGGTGCCTGGCACGCAGGACGTGCCCGTGAGCGAAGCTGAGATGTTGCACAGCTTTAATCGGAGGAGCCAGTGAGGGAGGAGTTTCATTAATTTCCCTCTCACACTGGAGATGACTAAACCTTTGTTGGATAGAACTAGTCGGGTTTTCAGTCTGTGCCGGTCCTCTCACCCCCACCAAGGTGACAACAGGGATGGTCGAGTCCAGAACTCAGACTTTAAAAAAAAAAGTTCACTGGGCGACTACTATGAGCCAGACACTGGACTGGATCACCTCGCTTAATCCGCCCAGCACCCGTGCGGCAGGGCGATGATTCTTCCCTTTCACAGACGAGGAAACCGAGGCGCACAGAGCTGATGGGTCGAGGGCCCGGGAATGGGGCCCAGCGGGTCGGGACCCAGGGTCCACACTCCAGCACATCCCAGCGAGAGAGGAGGAGCAGCCAGGCTGGAGGCGGGCCTGGCCCTCGGGGGCCATGGTGCTGCTCTCCTGCTGCAATGACCCTCCGGCCCTGGCCCTCTGACAGCACAGAGCCCGAGGCAGCAAGCCCCTCCCCAGTTCTGTCTAAGCACAAACAAAGCAGGGGCTCTGGGCCCCCCCAAAACACAAAACACTCCTTTCTGGGCCGAGTGGCTGCTTCCCCAGCCCCCTCCTCCTGCCCCTGCAGACAAGATTTCCCGACACGCCCAGTCGTGGAGCTGCCCACTCTCGGACAGTGTCCGATCCCAGCAAACCTGCCTCCTAGACCCTCCCTCACATCACCCAAGCAAAATGCACATCGGGAATCATTCCTCCCAGCGCCCTGTCAAGGAGCAGCCCAGGGCCCCGTGGTGTGTGGTCCCTGCTGCGAGGAGTCACCACCCAGCTGGGTGAACGGCGGGGGCCAGGTGGGCCTTGGCCAGAAACTTCCAGCCCTAAGAGTCACCATTTGTGCTCCCTTCACAGCTCAGGGAGGCTGGGCGTCCACTCTGATGTCACCGTGGCTCAGCGCCTCCGGGACTTGCCTAACCCCCCGCAGGTGGACGTGGTAGAGCTGGGAGACAAACCCAGGTTTATATTGATAGCACAAAACCGATGTTTTAAATTACTGATTGGTGGTCCAGCCGGTGTGGCTCAATGGTTGAGCCCTGACCCATGCACCAAGAGGTCGCCGGTTCGATTCCCAGTCAGGGCACATGCCCAGGTTGTGGGCCCGATCCCCAGTGGGGGGCGTGCAGGAGGCGGCCTCTCATCGACGTTTCGGTCTCTCTCACCCTCTCCCTCCCTCTCTCTCTAAAATCAATAAAGGGAACAAAATTTTAAAAGTACTGATTGGTGGAGTTGCAGGACGTCTGCCTGTGAAGTGTTCAGGTGCAGTGATATGCCGGGGACAGCGCTGGGATCCCAGCCCACGTGTCCCTCCCGGCGCTGCTCAGTGCCCCTGCCATCCCCCAGCTGCCACTGCTTCAGATGCTCCGTGTTCGCCTCGGGGCTTCACACCTCCTGGCGCCGGGCCTCCTGGGAGTGCGGACGCGGGTCTGGCAAGCTCGCCATGGGTGACCCTGGCCCAGCTCGCACAGGCACCTCCGGGGCTGCGTGGCTTCCTCGCTGTCCCCAGGGTGCACGGGCCGTGTGGCTGCTGATACTCCGGGCTGGTGCTTGGCTCCGCCCCAGCCGGGAGCACAGGGTTCTGCACAGGGACGGCCCGTGCTCGGGGGCGCAGGCCCCCAGCTCCAGTTACCTGGTCCCCAGGCTCCACCACGTCTCCGGGCTCTGCCCGGCGCACACTTCCCCTGCTTCCCATCACCTCACCTCTGCGAGTTCCCGCGTCTCCCATGTCAAGGGGCAGCCCATGAAGGAGCGGAGAGGAAAGGGAGCCTCTGGCAGCTCCTTAGCCACTGCGCTGCCCACTCCACTTGGCCCATGGCAGCACGGGGGGGGGGGGGGGGGCAAGCCTGCCTTTCCTTCTCTCCTGCAGATCCCCAGCCCCCCGCCCAAGGGCCAGCGAAGTGGGCAGAGGGAGGTACTCACAGCCACCAGCCCGTTGTGACCTGCAGTGACACAGGGAAGGGAGGGGCGGAAAACAACAGTCAGGGGCAGGCAGACAGTCCCTGAGGAGCGTGGCCACCCATCCCTGTTCCCACACCTGTGAAGATGCTGGAGAGGTGGCAGAAACCTGGGGGGGTCCCCTAAGCAGGTCCCTGGATGTTGGAACAGCACCTAGCTTGATGCCATAGAGCAGCTGTGCTGTGAGGAGTCGGGAAACCCTGGCTTGGCTGAGGGTCCCTGCGGGAGCCAGGGCGCGGAGGGACCCACGCGCATCCGGTGAAAGCCCTCCCAGGAAGCCTCGTACTTTTGAGTTTCCGTCACTTGGGGAGGAGGGGTGACTTCAGGGGGAGCATCACAGGGAAGAGAGGACATAGCCGATGCATTGCCCGTCACTGGCACGGAATCGGCGGCCGCCAGGTAAGTGTCGGTCGTGTGGACCGCTGCTGTCCAGCCTGGGCTGGTTTTGCCAAGTGTGGTTCACAGTAGCACCTCAGAAGGCTGTCGGCACATGAGTTTGTCTTTGTCCGTCCTCAGTGCTCCCCAAATAAAGTAAGCGCAGTTCAAAAGGAAGAGATTACACACAGTTCCCATGTGCGCCAGAGGAGCTGGTACGCGTCGGGGGTGCCCGAGGACTGGGCGCACTCACCCATTCGCACGCCGTTTCTTTCCAAAAACCTGAGGAGAGCGCCTTTGGGTGAGGACCCTGAACTTGGCGTGGGACCCCATGTTCCACACCAAGGCCCTGGTAGCAAGCCTCAGGGTCGCCCGAGGACTCCTGCAAACGCCGACTCTCAGCCCCCGCCCCAGAGTCTAGCCAGCTGTTGCGGGGCCTGGAACGGTGTCTCTCAGGCCCCCAGGTCATTCTGGTGCAGGTGGTCCCTGAGGCTGAGCGGCCCCCTCTTTCCTGACTTTCAGGAGAAGGTGCAGCTGCTGATGGAGAATCCTGGTCGGGTGGAGAGCAGGCCCCGGTCATCGTCAGGGAAGGAGGGGTGCTTAGCCCGGACCACTGGACATGTGTTTGTCCTTGGTGACAAAGGTCGCTCTGCAGCCTCAAAGATGCCAGAAGACGACTGTGTTCTCTGAGCACCAACCTAAACTCTGTGTTGACTCAAATAAAATGCTCAACCAATAATTTCACAAACATCCATAAACAGGGGAGCAGCAATGACCCACATGATGAATTTCTTCACAGCTGAGCTGGTTTCAAATTTTCCACATAGAAACTCCCCGAGTTTCAGAGGTCATTGAACAACCTCTCATCCACTCAAGGAATCTCTAGCTCGGAGATTTCTAACCTCTCCAACCACGATCCGTGGAAGAAATGCCGCTTACACTGTGGCCTGGCACCTCCCCCTCCAACCTCCCCTCCACAAGTGTATCAAAGAAACAAGTTTCATGAATTGATATTAACTCTTATCACATGGTAAGTAGGGGATGACCTATTTGATAATATATATATATATATATATATTTTTAATGCTGGTAGATGTACTATTTTAACACACTTTTGAAAATTCTATTAAAGTTTAAAATATTGCTGGGTGGGACTCATGAATGGGTTGCCACCTACAGTTTGAAAAGCCCTGCTCTCAACTACAGACCACTTCAAGGCCGGCCATCCTGGGCTCGACCTGAGAGGGGCCGTTTAACGGCCAGGAGCCTCGTGCTTCTTCGCAAATAGAACAGAGAGCATGCTGGGGCCTGGCAGCGTCGCAGAGACAGTAACAGATAATACACGTGAAGCCCTGGCCCATAGCAGCCCCGCAATGAATGGTAGCTATTTGTCCTTTAATTAGTGCTGATTATACATCTTGGAAAACTAATAAAGGCTTCTAGGCAACTAGGTTCCAGTTCAGTCCTCACAGATAAACCCACAGATGCACAAACACAGCTCAAAGGACAGAGGTCGAGGACCTGCTATCCCAGGACCCTCCTCACTCCAGTCCCCACCTCCCCCCAGTCCTGACTCAGCCCTCCTGTGGCTTCTGGTGACCCCCTTGCCCTTGAATTGGCTGCAGGCAGGCTCGGCTAGTCTCCAGGCCGCAGGCACACAGGACTCTTCAGAGAAGCTGGTCTGGACGAGGGTTCCTGGATGCGGGCTGCCGCTGCCGCCCCGGTCCGCTCAAAGTGCTGGTTAGACACGCCGACCTTCAGTCACCTTCAGTCCGGAGACTCCTAGCCACCGGGGCCAGGGCCCAGGAGCTGCATTTTAACAGGACACTGGCTTGTTCTTAGGCACACTGAATCGGATGACTAATCAGGAGATCTTCAAGGTGGCTCCCAGGTGCTAGCGGGACTTCAGAGCTGCAGAGATAAGACTTAGTCCTTCTCCCTGCCAGGAAACGGGGTGCGCTGTCATCGGACAAGAAAGTGCGGGGTCCCCTGAGGTGGAGGGCCTGGGCACTTCCTCACGGAGCTGTAGTGGGGCCGGAGCGGGCCTCCCCAGCCCAGGAAGTGTGTGAGTGGTCGTCGAAGCAGCCATTGTTAAAAGTTAAAAATTAAATTATATAAACTTATAATGAATAAATTATATTAAAAACAAAGGTCATTAACAGTTAACACTGTCACTTCCTAATATAATAACATAATAGTTTTACTACTGTCTGTGCTCTTGTGGCGATTTGCCTGTTTTCTGTAGGGCACCACGCTACGTGACGATGGGCAGGTGTGCACCCCCAAGTTCACACTCAGCAACGTCACGTTGGTGCCTGGAAAAGACCTTTCGAGAGTCCTTCCACCGGGGAGGTCAGCCGGCACTGCACGCCGGGCGTGTCATTGTCCTGGTGACAGACGTATGAAAGTGACGAAGAAAATGCTCATTATGCAGATCAGCTCCACGGTGTGCTGTGTCCACAGGTGTAACATCGCGAGGGAATGCTCTTCCAGCATCCAGACAACGCTGCCGGCTGCAGGAAAGTCGGTCCCGTCGCCGAAGGAGGGAGGCTCAGACATAAATCTTCGTTGTTTCACTTATTTCACTTTTGTTTTACTCTTTAAAATAAATGAGGATATCACACAGCACTTTTGGGGGGGGTTTCATTTGGAATTATCATTGGTCAATTGCAACCCTAGGCTGACTACTGAGTTTGGCAAAAACCATAGAAATTCGGTGAGAATCAGTTGGCTCCCTGGAGTTTGGAGGACTGTTACCCTGTCTGTAAAAGTACATGCCTCTCTGCCTTCATCTCAGCATCTCCGACACACCGAGGCGTGTGTGGGCGCACGTTTTCCCCGAGGGGCAGCCGTTAGACACTCGCCGGTGCCTCTGCTCCCGTGCGGTGCGCAAAGGAAGGAACACGGAGACACAATGCGGTGTCGGTGCTGTCTGACGGGCATGTTCCTTCAGCCCTGTCATCTCTCTGTACAAACCCGGTTGGAAATAATGTCCCAAGTTGAAATTCAGGCCCGCGGTGAGTGTGCATGGCAGGCCCCGAGGAGAGGCAGCCGGCCCGCAGCCTCGGCCCGGGAGGACCTGTAGCCGGGGGTCGGGGGCGTGCAGCAAGACCACTGTTGCAGATTTCACCCCCCAGATGTGCAAGGCCCTGGGGCTGTCACCCTCTGCGAACATGCAACATGCACTGGGCTCTCTGGGGCTCATTCCTGTTTTTTCCTAATTCCCCTTGATGAAGCAACTCCAGCTTCCTTTGGGGATGGGTGACCAGAAGTCAGGGCACTTGGGGCGGCTGGACTCCACCAGGCTGTTTCTCAGGGCTTTCTTTCCAACCCTTACGTACCTTATGCTTTTCAAGAATGTGGTGGCAACCACATTAGAATTAGAACGATCTAGTCCTCCCTCATCATTCTAGATGGGCTGACCCGAGCCCAGAGAGGGCAAGAATCTGCCCCAAACCACACAGCAAATCGATGGCGGAGCCAGCCCAGAGCCCTGGCACCTGCTGGCAGCATGGCAGGCTTTCCGCCACAGCCCCTGCTTCCTTGGCCCCAGAAAACAGGGAAGATTGGGAAGGGGTCCCTCCAGGCCTCTGAGCGAGCTGCCCCCCAGCTCGGCTCGGCTCAGCCCGCTTTACCTGCTCCTATCACCACCGCATCGTACTCAGGCTTCAGGCGTCCCTGGGCTGTCCAGCGCGCTTGTCTCCAAGCAGAGCAGGGAGAGGCACTCATGGCCCTGCCGAGCACTCGGCCACTTGCAGCCATTTCTGCTTAGTACTAGAACAGTAATTTGCTTGCAATCAGCTTTTTGTGCCTCCTGGAGCTGGGGGAGGAGCAGGGAGAGAGGAGGAGCTGCAGTCCTGCTGCCACACTTGGCCTCTGGCCAGACCAAACAGCACGCCGAGCTGCACGCGCCCTCCGGGTCCACACAGGGCAGAGCTGCGGGAGGTCGCCTGCATAGCCTGGCAGAAGCCGAGCTGCCTCCAGGCCTCCGCAGAGGCGTCTCCTGGCTGGTAATTCTCCAGGGCTCCCAGCTGCCAGGCACTGCCAGCCACAGCTGTGCAGCCTCTCGCGCAAGCCCTCGTGCGGCGCCCCGAGGCTCAGGAAGGGCGGCAGGAGCCCTGCGTGGGTCCTGCTTCTTACTAAGGAATTAGACATCTGGGAGGTGCTGGGGAGGGGCTAAGTAAAGAGAGACTGGGGTTCGACTCTGCTTCCCACTCCCTGTCCTGCAGGCTGTAGGGTGGCAAACACCAGGGAGCCCGCTGTGAGCAGGGCCTCACCCCCACGGCAGGGAGGGCGGCATCTGTCGCTGGGCCCTAGCAAGAGGCATGCTCTCTCCGAATGCTTGACAGGCTGCTGCAAGGGGCTTGGGCTGGTTCACTCGTCTGTATTCCTGGGGTTCACCTTCTTCTTTCGAAGGCCTGGACATCTATCTTGTGTCTTTGGCATTTCCCCCAAGAATCCATGTGGATTAAAGACCACAGCTGCGAACATCTTCAGCTAGATGCCTTCTCACTACCCTCGGGCCTGTTCTGATCAGAGCCCCTTTGGTCTCTGCCCATTAGCAAGCGGGCTGCTCCCTGGTAGGAAAAAGGCCCCCAGGTGTTGGGAGTGTCCCCATGGCTCTGACAGGTTCCAGAAGCCCGTTAGGAATTCGCTGCTGGGAGGGTGTGGGAAAGCTCGAGGGGCCTGCCGAGGGCCCTCCACCTGCCCGCACAGCTGCTGAAGTCCCACTCGGGACGCTCACCCCGTCTCCAGAACACGGAAAGACGCGGGGGACGGGTTAAACGGTATATCACCACATGCAGCTGCTAAAATTCAAGGGGAAGTACTAGGTGCCAAGAGTGGGGACCCTAAACAGTGGGGGCTTCCAGACTGGTTTCCCCTTTGTGTTCTTCTGTATTTTCCACAATCCCTGTTTTAAGTTTCTATTGAATCACACTGAGGAGGAATGAAGCCCCATCCCTCAGGTGACTGTCGCTCATACCACCTTGTGGCACTGCAGCCTGGGGTGTGGCTCTACTTCCTTTAATGCCACTGTCCCCTCAGGTGTTCCCCAGGGAAAGGAGTCTTGCGGGCATGCATTTGGCTGCTGTCTGCACGGGGACCCACTGCTCTGCTCACAAGACTTCTCCCCAGGCCCAGCGCTCCGGCGGTCCCTGTCCTTGTGTCCCCCTGGGGGTGGGAACTTGTAGGTGAAGGCTGCACCTCTCAGGCAGTGGTTCTCAATCCCCGGGACACCAGGATCGCCTGGGAGCTTCGATAAACCTCAAAGCCTGGGGTCCGAGGCTGGAGTACAAGAACTCGGTGGGGCTAGGACATTATCAGCAACTAACCACCATTTATTGAACACTGTCTGCGGCCAGCAGCCCTCACAAACACCCTGAAAGGGAGGTGCTGTCACTCGACTCGGGAGGCAGGTGCAGTCCGGGAGCTGCCCAGAGCTCAGAACGCGGTGCAGGCCTGGGCTCACCCCGGCCAGGAGCAGCTGTCATCTGCCGAGGGAACAGCGTCCTGGGGCGCGTCGTCACTCCGACACGGGGCAGAGCCGGGGACTTCCTCCCTGTCTGCTGGGTGTATTCCGAGGCCGCTCTAACCTCACAGCCACTGCTGGGGGGACCAAAGGAACCTCCCGGCCTCCCTCCGCCTCCAGAAGGAAGCATCAGAGGTCTGGTCACTGTCTGGAGTGGAGGCTGCGCTAGGTGAGGCTTCTGTATGAAATGCTGGGGGAGGGAACAGAAGAAAACAAACACAAGAAGAAATGAAGAGAAGAAACCACGGGGCTGCCCTGGGGACAGCACTGTCCTCAGGAGGCCGCACGGGGAGGAGGCTCTTGCATGGGGATGGCTGAGCAGGGAGGGGCTGCAGAACCACTGCGTGGGCATGTGCCCGGCTAGAGCAGGGGCACGCGGGACTCCTCCCACAGGCGCCGGGCCAGCTCGCCCGCCTGCTGCACCAGCACGTCGGTGGGGATGACGGACAGGTGGAGGGCCAGCAGCTCCTGACACCTGACGGCCTCAGCCGGGTGGTCCTTGCTGTAGTCGCGCAGGAGCTTCCTGTGGGAGGCCAAGGAAGGACAGGACTCAGGAGCGAGGCCACGCAGTCCCCCGGGCCGGCGCCTCTCTGGCACCTGCAGGCGCTGTCACCTGACCAGTTCCCGCCCCAGCATGTGCGGCCCTCCCTGTGGGTCTCAGTCCTGTGGGCCTGCAGCCGGTAGGGATCATCTGGGCCCCCGCACAGATGTTTGCGAATGCTGCCAGGTGTGCAGAAACCCCGATGTGCGCCCACTCTCCCTCACTGCACCCCGGCCCGGCTGTGAGGAGCTTCTAAGGAGGATTCTAGTTTCTTGGGGGACACCCTGAAGGAGGAGCTGCTCCCCTACAGGCGCACAGTCACTTATCACCCCACATCTGTGCAGCCACGGCCCCAACAGCCTCCGGACTCTGTCACCTGTAGTGGTCTCCTCCCAGCATGCCCACGGGAGGCGAGTCGTCGGAAAGGACAGGCACCTCGGTTATCCGCAGTTTGTACCCCTGGGGAAGGAGGGAGAAGGTCTTGATTGAGAAGGTGGCAGGTGTGGTGGGAAGAACACTGGTGTGGGTCAGACACCCCGGGTTCAGGGCCTGGCTCAGCCCTGCCTGGTGTGTGCTTGGCACTGGGAAAACTGTGGCCCCCTTTTTATTTAGCTTTGTCCTCTGTGAAAGAAGAGTCATAAAAACCCCAGTGAACACAGAGGTGATGTCTATAAGGTCTGAGCATCGTGCCTGGCACATGGTAGCTCTCATTCCCCTCAGAGAATGGGCCCGAGTCACTGTGCTCAGGAGGGCCACTGGGAGGGTGACTTGGGGAGGTGCCCAAAGAGGAAAGCATGATCAAGAGGCCTGTCTCTCCCTGAAAACACTGGGAATCCCCAGGGAAGCTTCTGGGGGGAAGGGAATCGAGGTCCACCTGCACCCGTCATGCGCCAGGCTCGGCCAGAGCTCCTCAGAAAGCTCACAGGACACGGTGGGGCTGCCCTGCAGGGAGGGGCGGGGCTCGGCAGGGCTCAAGTGGCGGCTGAGGATGGCCCAGGTGCAGCCGGGCTTCACCCTGGGTCTCCCCATCCCACAGCTCTACTTGAGCCCATTGCCTCATGGGGCCAACCAAGCACATGAAGCAGGGTCTCGCCCTAGAAGCAAAGGTCAAGGTCATACACACATTGGAAAGTTCTGAGACAGACAGCAAAGATGGGAGCCTATAGGTCCAAAGAGCTGAGACCAGGTTCTGGCTTCATCTCCTAGCCTGTGACCAAACAGCATCAGTGGTACTGACCCCAACCATCGCACAGGTGTGTGGATGTGGGGGCGCGAGAACAGTAGTGAGACTCCAGTGACTGCTGTGGACAGGGATGGGCCATCACCTCTGGGTCACCTCTCACCAAGGGCAGAGAGAGAGTAGGCATGAGGCCGGGGGACAGGAGAGCGGAGGCCAATGGCATGTGGGGGCAGAAGAAAGGACCTTCAGAGAGTTGGAATAATGAGTAACGGTGAGGAAAGCGGTTGGGGGAGAGACCAGCATGGGGACGACACAGCAGACACGTTCCCGGGCCATGTCTGTACACCGCAGGAACAGGGAGGACTAGGAACCAGCCCAGCGGCAAGAGACCCGAGCCACACTGTCAGCTCACCCTGGGGCAGGCTGGGTAACTGCACTGAGCCTCGGTGCATCCACCTGCACAAGGGGAGCAGCAGTGTGCCTCATGAGTGCAGTGGGTGATGCTGCGGTACCACCGAGGAAGCTCCTGGTCCGAGCAGCCTTTCGTACATGGGCTGCACCCTCTTGCGCATGTTACCTGAACGTGTCATGAACAGCAGCTTGCATTTCCAGACAGCTGAGGGGCAGGGTCACAAAGCCAGTGTCCCAACCAGCTCTGCATATCTATAGGCTCCACCAGGGACAAGAAGAGATGAGGAGACAGACTAAACACCACCCACAAGGAAGGAGCCCGAGAGGCACGGGGAAGGGAGCTGCACCCACCATCTCGTCCTGGAACCACAGGAAGTAGGAGCAGTAGAAGTCCCCCTCGCGGAACAGCAGCGTGGTGTAGCCCTTCTTCAGGTACCTGCGTGCCAGCCGGATCAGAGCCCAGACCTGGGAAGGGCAGTGTGCTCAGCACCACCCTGGCTGCGCCAGGCCCCCGCCAGGGTCAGGCAAGTGCTCGGAGGGGAGCATCTTGAAGGCCAGGGGCCTCTCCTGCTCTCTCCCCCTTAGCGCCCAGGCCCAGCCGTGGCTCGGGGCAGGAGCTCAATAATAAATCCATGTTGGATCGATGGGCGAACTACCCTTCCAATTACCATGAGGATAAAATATATGTAAAAACACTTTAAATAACTTTACTATACACACCAGCTATCAATCAGCAAATGCGTCTTTCAGGCCAGAAACCAGCCGAAGACGAGGCGAACACAGCAGGAGAGGAAGGGGTGGCTGCCTGGAAAGCCCTCCCGCTGCCTGGGGCCGGCCACTCACGGGCCCCCTTCTGGGCTGGGAACGTTTGACATGGGTTCTAGCCTGGAAGGTGCTAGGATGCTGCTTGAACACACAGGCACCCTGACCCAGGCAAGTCCTCCGCTCCGGGGTGAGGTCCAAACCAGGCTCAACAAGGGGTCTGACGGAAACACAGGGATGGACTGTGTGACTTAGACCCCCTGCCCTGTTCTCTGCCTCATTCAAGGACTTACTGCTGCTGCCTGGGAGCTGTCCTAGGGAGGCAGCAGGGACACCAGGGCTGGGGACGGCCCGAGGAGCCCTCTCACCACCAAGCTGAGTGGAAGGCGCGATCACTCCCGTGCCGCAGCGCGGTGTCTGATTAAATCCGCAAACAAATACATGGATTCGCTGTGCTTTCAGGAGGCAACCTGACAACATGTATCAATAATCTTAAAAACATTTCTCCCATTGGACTTAGTCATTCCATTTCTGGGAATCCAGAGTGAGAAAACGATCAGAGGTGAGGACAAAGACGGATGCACACAGGTGTGTGCTGCAGAACTATTTACAACAGCAAAGGCCTGGGAATAAGCTCCACGCTCAACATCGGGGTGCTGGCTAAGTAAATCACTTTACACTCACGTGATGCGCTGCTGTGGAGCTGCTAAAAGTCATGTTTATAAAGAATTAATGACACGAGGAAGCACACCTGATGTAAAGTGAAAATGCGGTGAACACAATCGCACAGACAGGAGAGCCCAACCCAGTGAGCGGCACGGAACACAACGGAAGAGAGCGAGCCCGGCTATGTGTGGAAAGAAGGATGGAGAAGGAGAAGACGATGGGGGTGGTGATGATGGCACCAGGAGGTACTCAGCTAATTCTCTCTCTGGACTGTGCCACGTACGGTGTGAAATACCCGACGTGCACCTGTAACCACCGCAACAAGCGGTCACGGCCTCGTTTACAGACCAGGGAACTAGACTTAGACTAAGTAACGCCCCAGCCACATGGGGAGCCAGAGCTGGACTCCAACACAGGCCTCTGCCACCCATCTTCTTTTATGTTTACTGATTTCAGAGAAAGAGAAAGGGAGAGGGAGAGAGAGAGAAACATTGACGAGAGAGAACATCGATTGGCCGCCTCCTGCATACCCCCCACTGGAAATGGGGCCCCCAACCTGGGCATGTGTCCTGACTGGGAATCAAACCGGTGACCTCTTGGCACCTGGGTCGACGCTCAACCACTGAGCCGGCCCGGCCGGGCCCGCCCATCTTACTTTCACCATCGTGACACTGTATTTGGACACAGGAAGTGGGTGTGTCTGTGTGCACACATCTAGTTTAGGAGGTGGCGGCAGCTCTCCCTCCTCCCAACACAGGACACTAGTTTGCCATGAACAAGAGTCCGTTAAAGAGAATAAAGGAATCCCCAGAAAATGCTTCCTTTGTTGAAACCACCTAGTTTTAAGTTCTAATAGTCAAACTGATTAAACTGTTTCTTCTTAGTTCTATTTAATTCAATAAACACTTATTGGGCATTTATTTATGCCAGGCACTGTGGTGGGCCCTGGCCAGTTCTTCCTCTGACTGTGCTGCCCAGTCTCTGCTAATGCAGGACATTAGCAAACACCCAGGAAGGTGCCCCCGGCACTGATCAAGGCCCACGTGGGCCCAGGTGCTGATCGGGGCCCCAGGGTGACAGAGACAAGATGCTGTTCTTGGGTGCTGACGGAGGAGCAGCAGGGTTGGGTGGGTGAGCTCCTGAGTCTCTCGCAGCCCCGAGAGCAGGAGGACCAGTCCTCCCCGGCCGGGGGCCAGGCCCGCAGGCCGTCAGAGGGGCAGTGAAGAGTGCCCAGGCGGCTCAGCAGTTACCTTGGTTCTGATGAAGGCAGCCAGGGGCCCCTTGCCAAGCTCCGATGAGGTCCCTTCACTGCTGCTGAGAGAAGGGGCCACCATCTGGCCGGTTGTGCGGTCCACGTAGATGAAGTGCACCAAGCCCGGGAAGTCTTCCAGGTAGGTGCAGGTCTGAGTCAAGGCGCCTGTAAGCTCTGTCCCCGACCCAGGCCTCTGAAGGCGAAGCAGCTCCCCGGAGGCTGACGTTCCAGCCAGCCCCCAGCAGCCCCTCTCCCAGATCTCTCTGCCCGCCACACCCTTCCCGGTGCCTCCCTTCATCTCTCCACGTCACCACGCGGGGCTGCAAGGTGGGAACGACCCTGGGCGGGCAGTGCTGGTGGCTGTCATCCCTTTCACCCGCACATGGCACACACTAGTTTCAGGGGACTGGAGACCAAACCCTTTAGAGATTTCAATATAGACAGAGCTGCTTTATATAAAGCTCCAGGGAAAATCCGTGTTCAGTGAAACTAGTGGTCCGTAATGCAAGGGTCTCAGAAGTCTGGGACACGGTTTTCGGAAACGGGGTAAACGCCGTGTGCGACTGGCAGGACCTGGCCCAGGACCTCCACCCCTTGGGAAGACCCATTCCCTCTGGGCTGGACTACGCCGACATGCCAATTCCAGGGCTTGTGTGAACTAACTCCGGGACACCGGGCTTCTGAAACATCAGCCCTGGAGCTCCCTACACCCAGGCACCCGGACACTACTTCCTACTGTTGTTCAGAGAAAAGCAGCAGAGGTGGTGGGATATACATTCTCCCAGCCCAAAGCCGCAGTCCTGCAGAGTGGCAGGTGGAGGGACAGACAGACACGAGTGGCGTTTCAGGATATTTCATCAAGGTGGTGTTCCTCCGGCTCTTCACCAACACATAGTCCTTCCAGTCCATCAGCTTTTCTCTGCCAGAAGAGCAGGGAAGTGGGGCATGGGGACATGTGCCCACCCCACCCCGGCACCCGGGCCACACCCGCACTCACTGCATGAGCATCTGGACCCGGTCCTGCAGGTGCTGGGGCAGCTGTGGGCCTCCCAGCCCCGGAGCCGCGCTCAGGAAGCTCAGCCGGTAGAGGGCGCAGAGCTGCCGCTTCACCTTCCGGCACAGCTGGAGCAGCCTGGGCGCCAGGACATGAGAGTATCACTGCGGGAAGGGCCCTAGGAGAACGCACCGTCCCCAGCGGGTCACCCGGGCTCCTACACTGGCAGACACCCCTAGGGCAGCACCTCATCGTGCGGTCACCGAGCCCTGCACGGATGAGACAGCTGACGCAGCGCGCCTCACCCTCAGGACCGGGGGATAGCTTCCCAGTTCTCCCAACATGCACTCCACGCGCCAGGGCGCAGGGCAGGGGCTCTCTCGTCCAACTTCACGGCTTACTTCACCCGTACTGGGGGGTGACGCGTGCCAGGCTGCACTGGGTGAGCGCTGAGGCTGGGCTGGAACCTGGGCTCGCCCCCGGTCCCAGTGCTGGGTCCTCACAGGCCAGCGCCTCAGCCTCCAGCGGCTCTGCTTCCAACCCTCCCTCCCGCATCGTGGGCCGGACCCCGCTCTCCCAGGACCCCAGTCCCATCAGAAGCGCCTTCCTGAACACTCTCTCCCTCTCGGCCTGGAGGGAGCTTGCCTCTGTCTACACGTGCCCCCCACCCCCAGCCCACCACTCACTCCCCGGACGATGCAGGCTCACTCCTGGAGAAGGCCTTGGTCTTGAACTCCTGCCAGGTGCTCTGTGGGAGGACGGGGCACAGGTCGGCGTCCTGGCGGCGTTTCCAGGGGAGACCCTCCCGATGCCAGGCTGAGAGGGCACCTCCTGAAGGCTTCTTTAGGCCCAGCACACATGTGCCCTCACACAGCCAAAGTGGGGTCTCTGGCAGGTCCCCCAGCTCTCTGCACCTGCTGTATACCACGTTCTACTCACCTGGCAGGTGTTCATTTAAAAAGCAGTTTCTGTGTACCAAGTACTGGGCTCACTGCCTGGCTGGCACAGACATGCAAACTAATGTTGCCAGAGTGACAGGCAAGTGACCGTAGGGAGGGTGGACACGGGGCAGGCGCTGGGGAAGAGCTCCAGGCCATCTCCTTGCAGAGGGACTTGGCATCCTAACGCGGTGCCCCCGCGATGCCTGGAGCCCAGGGCGATGCTGAGCAGCCTTCAGCTGCTCTGGGCGGAGAACCCGGGCTGTCTGGATCTGGGCTTCCCTGGCTTCCTCTGCCTCCTCCAGGTGAGCCCATTTCCAGGCCAAGGCGCAGTGCAGCCACCGTGAACCCTGTTCCTCACCCCGACCCAGGCACCGCCGGCCACTCTCCCAGGGTCTACCCTACTTCCTGCCTGGCTCCGCTGCCTGTTTCCTGCTCATCACTGCCCCCCGTCTCGTGGCCTCCTCTCCCCTCCTGCGCTCTAAGCCCCGTGGGTTTGGGAGTGGCATCGGGGAGGCGGATGGCCTTTACTGAGTCCTGAAGTCAGGTTCTGGCCCTCCGCGTCATCCTGGCCAAGTCACGATCTAAGTCCAGTTTCCTCCTCTAAAACAGTGGGAATTGTAATTCGTGTTCTGCCAAACTTACATAAAAATGCTCTGAAAATGTCAAGTGCTGCTGTCAATGTTTGTTACAATTTCCTAGTGGGGAAAGGAGGACCACAAGCCTGTGGTGGGGCCGAGGCAAAGCCGGGGCCGGGGCCCTCCCTGGTGTGGACTGAGCAGGCCCTGCGCAAAGCGCCTGCCTTCCTCCCCGAGGCGGGCACACAGAGGATCCGGGCCTCACCTGAATCTCCTGTCCCCCACGATTCTTGACAAACTTGTCCATCCTCTGGCGCAAGTCCCCAACGAGCGGGTGGGACCGCAGGGAGCTCCGGGCCTCCTGCCCCTCCTTCAGCTTCGCCTCCAGCTGGGAAAACCCATCCAGCAGCTGGCACAGGACCAGGGCCAGTGTAGTGCTGGGGGCCTAAGGGAGGAAGCGAAGGGCAGGGGTATGGGTAGCCCGTGGGGAAGGTGTCCAGGCCGCGGTGTCACGGGCAGGTGGGGGCGCTTGTACCTTGGTCAGGAGCACCATGTTGATGCCCGGCCACAGGGGCAGGCAGTACATGGTGTGGGGCACCATGGGGCAGTAGCTCTCTTTCACATTGGCCTCGAGGAAAATCCTTCTGGGGCAGGAAGGTGCTGGGGAGTCAGAGATCAGCATTTGGAGTGTGTCTTCTCCTATCTGTGGAGGAAGAGGAGCTGTTGTGGGAGGGAGTGGGGGATGCCGCTGGCCTCCTCCCCACGTTGGCTCTCCCCACTCGCCACCCTCACTAGGAATCGTGGGGAGCAAACATTTTAGCTCCAAGAATTCCCAGCTCTTCAATCCTGCACTCTGTTGGAGCTGCCCTGAGAGGTCCAGTCCTAATGTCTGTCTCTCTCTCAGCTTCTTCTGGGCCTTTCTGCCCAGAGTCAGGGCTGGGTGCCAAGCGGGGTGCTGGATGGTAAAGGAGACATGGACAAGGCAGGACAAACAAACTGGGTGGAGCGAGAGGCTCCTCCCCGCGTTCACACAGCTGGAGGCGCTTACAGTTCAGTAACCTTCCGTCATTGCAACCACCTCAGAACTATGACAGCACTCGGGGGAACGGAGGCGCCAAAGGCTGAATGGCGAGACTCCAGCCTTGCGGAGGCTCTAAGAAGGCTTTGTGGGCAGAAGTGGAGAATAACAGGAGTCATCAGCGACGCCACCGAAGCCTCGGGGTGTCACTGCAGTCTTAGGAGAACAGCATGGAGCTGGGTACAGGGCACCAGCAGTGCTGGGGGTTGCAAATCAGCACCAGCATGCACGCAAGGGACCCCTGAACAGTCGGTGACCACACTGCTGAAGAGCCGTGTAAATGCATCAGGAGAAGAGTGTGATGAAGTACATTAGGACTCAAATTTGGTAAAAGAAAAAAAATATATATGCTGTGTATGTGTGTACACACACACACACACACACACACACACACAGTTTTCCTTGTTTTCCAAACTTTGCTTCTATATTTCCCAATTTTTCTACAATAAATATTTTCACATTTTCATTTTAAAAATTAAGCTGGGCCCTGGCCGGTTTGGTTCAGCGGTTAGAGCGTCGGCCTGCAGACCAGGGAGTCCCGGGTTCGAATCCGGTCAAGGGTATGTACCTTGGCTGCGATTTGTCCCTGGCCCTGGTTGGGGTTGTGTGGGTGGCAACTAGTCGGTGTCTGTCTCTCACACTGATGTTTCTTTCTCTCTTTCTCTCTCCCTCCCACTCTGTCTGAAGATAAATGTAAAAATATCCTCAGATGAGGATTAAGTTGGACTTTCACTCCCTAGACTAGGGAGAAGAGGGGCATCCTCAGGGGCTGAGGCCCCCCACCCTCTCGGCGGAGCTGCCCCTGCACTGCCAGCCTGAGGTGGCAGGAGGTGCTCGGAGGAGAAGGCCGAGTCCTCAGCACTCAGGGCAGTGGCTCAGATCAGCAGGTGCCCGGGCACGTTCCCCTCCCCCAGAAGAAACTCACCTGGATGGAGGAAGCATCGGCGGGCAGGGTTTCCCCATCCAGCCAGACGGTGCTACCTGCAGGCCACAGGTAATCACAACATAAATAACTGGAAACTATACATGATGGCCCAATAGCATGTCAGAGGAGGGTGGAGCAGGGATGACCCCACCCCATCTGCTCCCAGAACCTGGCTGGGGACAGCACTGCCCTTCCCGCCCTGTCCCAGGTGGGCAAGTGCAGGCAAACTCTGAGCTACGAGGGCCCGAACTGGGAAGAGAAGCCCCCTACCCCAGAGCCAGGCGCCGGGAGCAAGAGCCTGAGGACACACCTGGCAATGTGGGGTGCGTGTTCCTCAGCCCCCCTAATCCCTCCTGCTTTCTGCCCTCTCTGCTCCTCCAGGCCCCACGGGCCTGTAACAGCGCCTCGGCACTGCCAGGCAGCACACAGTCTACAGTTCCCATCTGTTTAGTCCATCAGCAAACTTTTACTGAGCACCTACTGCGTGCTGGGAGCTGAGTGGGATTCCCTTCCTAGTACAGCTCACAAAAACCTCCGGAACCCACTGCATATTGGAAATGTTATATGTTTGCAATAATAGTGTTCTCTCATAGTTTACTGCAACTAACTGTCATTTATAACCACGTTTCTCTGGGGCAAGTCTGTTCCTGTGTCTCAAACACCTGATTTACAAATGGAGGCGTGCAACCGAAGCCGTTTGTAAGCTGTGAGTTCTGCGTACTGTGGGATGGCATTATTTACAGCTCTGACAAAAACCAACCAGAGAGAAGGGCGAGGAGGAGGATGTGATGAACGAGGGAAGGGAGCAGTAAGAAGAAAAGGGAACATCAGCGATCACCCCAAACGGCGCTTCTCAGTGTGTCTGGGCTCACGGAGAAGCTTGGAGGACAAGCACAAATGAGCTGGGACACAACTTAGGGGGTCCCAGGCTCCTTGCAGTTCATCCAAAGGCCAAAGTTAAGAACTTCTAAGCTGGTGGTTTTAACTGTGCCATGCGACCCCGTAAAAACCCTGATGCCCATGCCACCCCCCCAGGCCGGTTAAGTCAGAATCTCTGGCACAAGCCCAGCGTCAGTGGTTTTTAAAGGTCCCCGGTGAGCCCACAGCGCAGCCAGGGAAGAACCACTGTTCTAGCCTAGATCTGTGCACAGCAGTGGTTCTCACCCCGAGGCTCAGTGGCCTCACAGGGAAATGTCTAGAAGTACTCACATCTGGATTCCAGCCTGGGACTCCAGCTTAAGTGGTCTGGCTGAAGCTGCCCAGGTCATTACTGCATCAGAACAAGAGGTCTAAGGAAGCCACAGGGTATATTCCTTTCACAACGCAGGCCCCGACAATTTGTCCTGAAACCCTGGCCATTTTTCTTGTATCAGATGACGCTGGCATCCCCTTTCCCGAGAATTTCGGAGCTAAACAGGATGCTCGGTCACAGCCCAGATGTGGCTTCTCTGTTTCTCTAAGCGATGGCATCTTTTTTGATTTGTTAATAGCATTTTGAACATTTTGAGTTTATTTTTGTTGTTCACCCACATACACTGAAAAAACATGTAAGGTATAAACTACAGAGACTTATTGTTTACATTTTAAATGGCTGTACTTAAAATCAAATTATTACTACTTTATTTTAATTACTGATTACTTATTAATTACAAAAAAGGGAAGGCAGAGAATACACATACGAGTGACAGATTTTTAAACGAAATCAGCTTGTCATAAAAAGCTTTAGCAATCACTCGAGGGGCCTTCGGTGCTTGAATTCAAGCTGCAGCTAGCAGAGTAGACAGGGCGCTGCTGCAGACACTGTCCTGTGCTCTAGAAATCTGGGCGTCTGTGCCTGGGCCCTGATAAGGCAGGGGGTCCACTGAACCCTAAGACAGACTTCCCAGGGCTGCCACTTGATCTGCCCCCTCCCCTCCTGCCCCCTGCTCCCCCTGCCCCCAGGTCTCACCTGAACCTGAGCTCTGCTCCCCTGGGGAAGGAGCTGGGGTGAAGTACTCCTCAGGGAGGGAGAAGCTGTCTGTCTCCTGGGGGAAGAAGGGGACAGCTTGGGCTGAGGGTGCAGCCTTGGCCTCTGCTCTCCCAGCAGGGACAGAACCCCCCCCCCCCCCCCCCGTGGGCACACGGCACATACAGTCCTTGCAGAACTCCTGGCAGGGCCTGAGGAACCAGGGCTCCAGTCCTGCCGCAGGGCGATGCTCTGGCTGCCGCACGGCCTCCGTGGGGAAGGCTGCCAGGGCGCGGGAGACCAAGGTTAGCACGTGCGACCAGCTCCTCCCCAGGGGCCCTCCACCCCCGCACTTCGCGGCCCAGCCCTGGAGCAGAGGCGCCAGCACACCCGCTCCACCGCGAGGCAGGCCCTGGCGTGTCCACTTTCTAGGAATGTTCCAGTTCTAGGTATAACCTTTCTCCAGAACCACTGAGGTGCTACACACTGATACCCAACCACGCTGAAGATAACGAGGATGGTGATGCTGGCGGCCAGCACTTGCTGGGAGTTCCCACCACCCAGGCACTGCTGGGAGCCATGAAATTGTCTCCTTTTTTCCTCACAATAACTCTGAGAGGTAGATACTATCACTGTCCCACTGCACAGATAAGGCAGTTGAGGCTCAGAAGGGGCAAGTACCTGCCCATCTCACACAGCGAAGCAGGACTATCTGACTCCAAAAACCTACACTTTTTTTTTTTTAATCCTCACCCGAGGACATTTTTCCATCTTTTGCACAGACAGAGTGGGAGGGAGAGAGAGGAAGACAGAGAGAGGGAAACATCGACGTGAAAGGGACACATCGAGTGGCTGCCACCCGCACGACCAACCAGGGCCGGGGACAAACTGCAACAAACTGTACATGCCCCTAGCGGGAACCGAACCCGGGTCTCTCTGGACCGCAGGCGGACGCTCTAACCGCTGAGCCAAACCGGCCAGGGCCAAAAACCTACACTTTAACCACACGTTCACAAACCCTCCCCCTATCTGAAAGAGCAGGAAAGGCGTCATGCCCGACCACAAGCCCAGAACCATGACTCGGGAACCACGGCCTCCCCTGGGCCGGCCGGGCTCCTCCACACTGGTCTTCCGGCTGTCCCCCTGGCAGCCTCCCATGCCCAGAGCGCTGCCGGAGACCTGAGAGTCATCGTCCTCCTCCTCCGCGGCGCTCTTGCTGGGGTAGAGGTGCTGAACCAGGAGAATGAGGGCGAGGAGGTCGGCTGGGCGCAGGGAGCTGGCACTGTGGCTGCAGAGACAGGCAGCTGGTCAGCACATGCCCAGCAGGCAGGTGGCACTGGACAGGGCAGGCAGTTAAGGGAGACAGGCATGGTGCCTGCCCTCAAGGAGTTCATGAATGTGCCAGCTGATTTCACCCTTTTTGGAGAAAGTCGAAGTGTAGATAAAATCAGCTCATCGATTTCTAAACTAAAACATGGCCGTGTTAAAAACAATTCTGGGAAACCACCCGGAACCAGTGATAGCATATCAGGAAGTCCTAAATTCAGACTTGGAGACAGCGCTCCAGGAAGAAGTTATTCGCAGAAGGGAATGAGCTGAGCGGGGCTGAAGAATCGAAGAACCTGAGAAGGCTTCATGGAAGACATGGGCCTTGAAGGGTTTCGTGCAGGGAAGTGGTGCTTGCAGACGGGTGGGAGCGAGGGCCGGGAGGCTCACCTGGAGTAGAAAGCCAGCAGCTTGGAGTGCACGAGGAGGAAGGCGTGCAGGGCCTCCTCGCCCGCCCGTGCGGGGCTGGAGTTCACAGCCTGGACGACGTGCCGCTCCAGCGCTTCTATGCACAGCTTACAGCACTGAGGGTGAATCAGCCGCTCTACAGCCTGGCCATACAAGGGCAGGGGGAAGAAGCCATGTCACCCACCACCCTCTCCTGCCCAGGCCCTGGCTGGTGGGTACATTCATTCAGTCCACATCGAGCACAGACTATGTGCAAGACACCTGGGAACAGGGAGAATCAGACCAGCACAATCCCTGCCTTCTTTGGGCTTACGGTCTGCTCAGCAGACTCTAGTGGGTGATTCAGACAATACATAAGGAAACAGACAAAAGACGTGCTGTGTAGGAAATATACAGTACCACACTAGAGGAAGGAGCAGAGACCTACTTGGGTCAGGTGTACAAAGAAAGGACACCTGAGGAAGTGACCTTTAAACAGACAGAAATTAGTTTGAGAATAAGAAAACCTGTCAGAAAAAGGGGGGTAGGGGAGAATGCTACAAGCAGAGGAAAGAGCATAAGCAAAGGCCCTGAGGTGGGGAGAGAATTTCAAGCAGTGCTGTCCAACTGATATATAAGGCAAGCCCTTTGCACAATGAAAAATTTTCTAGTAACCACATTAAAAAGTAAAAAGAAACAGGTAAAATTAATTTTAATAATTTATTTTACCCAATATATCTAAAACTTTATCATTTCAATATATAATATAAAATCATTAATGGAATGTTGAACATTCTTTTTTTGCACTAAATCTTCAAAATCCAGTGTATACTTTACATAGACAGCATTACTTAATTTAAAGTAATTACATTTCAAATGTTTAATAGCATCGTGAAGCTAATGACTACCACACTGGACAGAATAAAACACAGAGTACTCCTGAAATGGAAAGAAGCCCCAGGTGGCCAGTGCACAATGAGGACAAGAGAGTCATGAGATGAGGCTGGGACAAGACAGGCAGTGGCAGATTATACAGGACCTGGTAGGCCTGGGACAAAGTTTGGATTTTATTTTAATCGTATTATATCACCTACAAAAGGCCTTCCAAATGTCTCAGAAAGAGTTGACTATGACATCCTTTGTACCACCATGGATTCTGATGAGAAACCCAGTATGACAACACCCAGGATACTTTCTTGCACATTTTAGCATATATGTACGGCTGATTTCCCCTCAAAGGCAGGGATTGTCACTTTCTTCATCTCTGTATTCCCAGGGCCTGGCACACCTCTTAGCATATAGTACGTACTATATGGTTATTGGAAGAATGAGTGAGTGGGCTGTGGAAATGAATTCTTTCAGATCTATTTTCCAATTCACTAATTCTCTTTCTAGCTATGTCTCATCTATTATTTAATCCATCCCTTGAGGTTTTCATTTTAACAATTATATTTTCATTTCTAAAATATCTACATGGGTTGTTAGCTTTTATGTTTTTAAATATTTCATAATTATTTTATCTTCTGTACCTAATAATTCCAGTATATCAAGCTCCTTAGGATCTAACTCTATTGGTTATTGACTCCCCTGACCCTCACTCATGGGGGCTATTTTCTTATGCATCTGATAGTTCATTGTGAGCTCATATGTGTCTGCTCTTAATCTCTCATCTAATGCAGTGGCTTTCAGAGTGTAGATCCCAGACCAGCATTACCAGTATCACCTGGGAACTTTTTGAAAATACAAGTTCTAGAGCCTCCCACTCCAGCAACCTGTATCCAATAAGCCTCCAGGCAATTTTGGTGTACTCTGGGCTGCGTGAACCCTGACCTAGAGCATCTGTATTTGCCCACACAGGGGTCAGGGACTGCTGCTAATAACGGTCAGTTAGCTCCTCAGGCCAGGGCTTAACACAGGCAGGCTCAGCTTCCCTCAGGCTTAGTTTTCTGGTTGTAGAGTTGGTATCATCTGTACTCAGGCAACTTTACCTTTAATGCTGCTTATTTTTCACTACTTTCCACTCTAGTTTCAGTTTAGTTTGGGGGAGGGTCAGGGTTGAGGGGGCTATCTTCAGAGATTTGTATAATTTACTGTGAGCCCCAAAACTGCACTAAGAAGTCTTTTTTTACATAGGAGCTAGCTGGTTTATTGTAGAAAGACCCATCAGAGTACCCAACCCATTATGTGGTCAGAAAAAGCAACCCTGTAAATGCATGAGTTTGGGGGTCTGCCTGTGCCCTCACTCATTAGAGGGACCAAAACGTGGTCTTAAAGCTGCTTGGCCCCTCTGACCTGACACTTCCTCGGCCCGAGGACTCTTGCACCCAGTAGTCACCTCCACAGCGAAACACTGCTCCTGCTCCCGCAGGCGGCTGTAGGTCAGCAGCAGGCCCTGGAAGTGCTCCCACACCCGGACGCGCTGCTCCAGGTCTGGGGGCCGCAGCCTGGGGGAAGAGTGAGACAGAACCATGAAAAGCTGGCTGTCCCCAGCTTCGACCAAAGGAGCACAGTCCCAGATCATGTCAGGGCCAGGAGAGCTCACGCGAGCTGACCAAATAACTGGGAGAGCCCATGAAGCACCACGGCGCCGAGTTCGCCTGCCCTAGTTGTGGAGTGGAGTGGGATGGGCAGGAAACCAGGAGCCAGGCACCTGAGAAAATCACTGCACTTCTTAGTCTCTCTTACACACAGACATGGCACGAAGCCAACTAGACGGCCAGGAAGGTGCCAGGATGGAGCCAGGGGCACAGTATGGATGGACAGCTTCACAGAGGCTGGGTACACACTGCCTGGCCTCCAGAGGGTGCTTGGCAAAGGCTCTGAGGGCCCAGCCACGAGGACTCACTCCTTTCGGAGGAGCTGGCTATCCACGGTGACAAGCCCGAAGTGCACCTCGAACAGGAACTGGAGCACACGCAGCTTCTGCCGCAGGTCCCCCTCGTCCTCTGTGTGGTCTCCGTTGATGGCGATGAACAGGCATTCTCTGAACTGTAGGTACAGCGGGCTGACATCAGCTGGCCCCAGGGGCTCCCCACACCTGCCCTGACCCCTGGGGACAGTGAGGGCAGGATCAGTCCCAGAGGATTTTGATAAGACTTGGTTTCTGCCTTCTAAAGGAGTCTACAGTTCAAGATCAGGGAGAGGCATGTGGTCTACCCATGGAGCCAAGGGAGGAGGAACACGGCCCCTGGATCACACTCACCCGGTGAAGGGCATAGAGATAGTTGCCATTTTCTGTTGAGAAGCAGGTGTATGTGTCTGAGAGCTTCTCCAGCATTGTCATGGAGGAGATGATGACCGGGGCTAGGAGGGTGCTGAGCTGGTCCTCCAGGGCAGGAAGCTGCAAGAGGGGAAGAAAATAACACTGCTTGAAGGTGCCAGACACAGGGGACAAAGAAGTGGGTAAGACTCGGCCTTGCCACAAGGGTCTCCATAGTTCCAGATCTTCCTGGGAGGGCTTCATGGTTCTGACAGAGAGGACAGCAGAAGACACTGCCTCTAAACCTTGGCTTATAGTTAGGAAGGCTGGGAAGGGTTGGCCAACTAACTGTGCTGTTTAGGCTCTGAAAGTAGAAGGGAACATTAAGGGAATAGGTCCTATTTCCACAGTGGACTGTCTGGAGCATTTAATGGAGAGCTGGCCAACTCTGAGAACACTACCTGCATGTACCCAAGTCCATGCCCTTTGCGGCAGAGGGCCTGCTGTGGGGAACGTGTCCTAAGGAAAATGGTCAGAGAGCAGGGCAGAGACACATGTACACAGATGTTCAATGCAGAATCGTTCATAGTGACAAGCAACTGGGGGGATAGGTAAATGGCTAACAGTCCATCTAAACAGTGGAAGAATACACAGCCACTTAACACAGGGCAGTGTTTCAATGACATGGAACAGTCCTCTGACACACTGTTGTTTTAAAAAATGGTGTGAATGTTCTGTATTTTAAACTGCATAAAAAGCATTGAAAAAATCTTAAATTCATTACTCTGGACACAGGGATTGTGAGTGATTTCTCCTCCCACTTTTCATATATTTCTGTACTTTCCCTATTTCTATAACACACGTACTTTTATCTTTATAAACTCTTCCCTCATCCATCCCCTCTGCCCTCCCAAATAAAACCAAAAATAGACCGATCAAATTACTTGAAAATCTGCGAACAGGACGGGATAAAGCCAGTGGAATAGTAATAGCTCAAATTCACATACTGGAATGAAAAGAAGGGAGGAAAACGCTGATTTCCAGGGACTTGACTGAAACATGGAGAAAGGAGAGTCCAAACTTGGAGCTGGTGCAATCTACAAGGACTGGGTAAGACGTTGCCTTGAGAAGCAAAATAGGCAACTGGCCTGAGGCCATGAGCGGGACACAGCACCGTGCAGCAGCTGATTTTCTTCCAACATTTCCAACATTCAGGAGCCAAGGTCCGTGCCCAAGGGCTGCAGAATCTGTCCACAATGTTGCAACAGTGGCACCTTCTCACCAGTCAGATCCCAGGGCAGACAGCCCCTCTCCTGACCAACCCAGGCCACCCTGCCCGGGGCACTCCCCATCCCATACCTGGTCGAACTTTCAGACCCTCTCACTCCCTGAGCTCATGGTGTCTACTGGGTCGCCTTTCAGGAGCAGGGTCGCATGCACTGCTTTCCCCAGAGACCGGCACGTGGGAGGTTCTCACTGAAGATCTGTGACTGAACATCCCTCCAGATAGGCAAACGTGTGTTGAATTATTCACATACCGAGACTTTCTGGAACTGTCATGAACTAATTATATTAACAGAAAAGTCACTTTTGGGAAGGAGGGGGGTCAATAGGGGAAAAAAGAGGGACATCTTTAATATGTTCAACAATAAAAAAATAAAATAAAATCAGTCAGATATTAAAAAAAGAAAAGTCACTTAAAAATCTGATTGTGTACACTAACTCATTTTAAAAGTAGTAGCTTTTTCTGCAAGTGCAGTAAGAATTTTTCTTGACGGGGGAGATAAAATTATTTGGTGTAGGCAGAGTGTCAAGGGACATTCTCGTATTAGCTGGTGGAATTATAAAGTGGTACAATATCTTTGAATGGCTTTTGCATCGAAGCTTCTATTTTTAGGAATTGATGTGGGGTAAAATTCAAGCACAAATGTTCCCTACAGCAACAGTACAGAAAACCAGAGCAATATATATGTCCAGTATTGAGGACGTGGTTAAATAAACGGGCACATGCATTCATACACAAACGTTTGTTTCCATGAACATTTATGCTTTTGAGACTATTTAACAAAATGGAATAGTGCTTTAGATATGATAGCAAATGGGGGGAAAAAACAGAAAAAACAGTAAAAGTGGCATGATCCCAACTATATATAAAAATTAAAGACCCCCCCCAAAAAAACATAGTAAAGAGCTCATTGCTATGGGTAGTAAAATTATGGGTCATTTAAAAATGCTTTCTTTGTTTCCAAATTTCTTCAATTCATTCACACACACTGTAGAATCATGAAAAATTATTTTGTATACGTAAAAAAAAAGTATAACTTTAAAGACTCTTTTCTCTAGTCATGTAGAAACTGAAAAATCAGGAGTTCGTTAGTTTGTTCCTTTACCAGGTTTTTATTAAAGAGGAAGAGAAACATCAAATAGCCAGTTGAAAAAATAGCTTAAGAACTGAAATACTTAAAAATTCTTAATTTAAAAATTAGATGTGTTGACTGCTAAAAAAAAATGAAAGAGCCCAACAAATAGATGTGTACTAGTTTCAGTAAAACCAGTTAATGTCCATGATCTGGACATCTCGCTTTATCCCTCAGACTAACGAGCGTGTCGGGGACGCTGAGGGGAGCGACCTGAGGCGCAGCTGGCTCGCTTGGCCTGTTGGTCCCCCCAGCTCAGGAAGGGCCTGAGGGGCAACCAGTCTACATGGCTGCAGAAATGCGAGAACTCCTCACTGCCCCCCCAATAAAGATTTCTTAAATCCAAAATTAACCTGAAAATTTTTCTCAAAATAAACGACACCTTTAAATGTAGAGTGGAGATTATATGAGTAAAATGACAACCATCTCTGAGTTGTTATATTAAAGTGTTAAACTGGGTGTTCACATGCAAAAAAAATAACCTTAATGCATACCTGACACCATATACGAAAAGTCTAAATGGATCATCAGCTCTAATATAAAACCTAAAACTATAAACTTTCTGGAAAAAACATAGGGAGAACTCTTTGTGATCCTGGGTTGGCCAAAGATTTCTTATATATGGCATCAAAAGCATGATCGATAAAAGCAAAAAAAAAAAGTATAAATTGAATTTATCAAAATTAAAAGCTTCTGCTCTTTGAAAGACTCTGTTAAGTGGAGGCAAAGATAAGACACAGACTGGAAGAAAATACCTACAAAACATATTATCTCCTTGGACTTAACATCCAAAATACATGAGAAGCTCCCAAAACTGGATAAAAATAAGAAACAACCCAATAAAACAGCAAAAGATTTGAACAGACAACTCATTAAAGAAGATATAAGGATGGCGATTAAGCACATGAAAAGATGCTCAACATCATTAGTCATTAAAGAAATGAAAATTAAAACACAATGAGAGTCTCTCATGAACAAATCATGACTAGCCCTGGCCTGTTTGGCTCAGCAGATGGAGCGTCAGCCTGTGGACCAGAGTATCCTGGGTTCGGTTCCCTCTAGGGGCACGTACCCAAAAAACAAAAAATCATATGACTAGAAAAGTCGCTTTCTATTAGATACCTACCAGAATGAGTAAATTACAGAGTGACTAGCAAGTATTCACCAGGCTACTGAGGAAATGGAAGTCTCATATACTCCTAGTGGAATATAAATGATACAGCCTCCGTGGAAAAGGTGGGCAGCTTCTTTAAAAGTTTAGCCTACGATGACATGATCCAGCCATGCTACCCTCGGGGTTTCCACAAGTGAAAGCCGAGGTCCATGCAGAGACCTGCACGTGAATGTTCACAGCTGCCTTGTGTGTGAGTAAAAACTGGAAACGCCCCGATGTTGTTCCCATCGACAGGTAGCCAGATGGACAAACTGTGGGTACTGTTAAAACACTACTGCTCAGCAATGAAGGGGGTGAGCTGCAGACACACAGTCCCAGAGGGGTGGATCTCAGTCAGGCTGTGTGAAGGAAGCTAGACCAAACCAAAACCAAAACCAAAACCAGCCCGAGTACCAACGGCACGATTTCATCATATAAAGGTCTAGAGATACAAACTCATTTAAGACAGAGATGTGTAGTTGCCAGGTCGGGGGAAATGAAGGAGGCTCCCTAATTTGGGGGATGGTGGTCCTGTCCATTTTATTGACTGTGATGGAATTGCAGGTATATGGACATATTAACGTATAGCAGATGTACACCTTGAGTATGTTCGGGTTGTAGTGTGTCAATTATACCTTAACACAGCTGATATAAAAAGCAATGTGCTAAGCTTATGCTAAACATTTCAGGTAAAGAAACTGGTGACATCAAGTTTCTCTGCTGTGTGATCAAAATTCTACCTCCTCCTGCCCTCATTTAGCCCAGTCAGCCCTGGGGGCAGTACGGGGCGCGGTCACTGCACTCCATGGCATCGAGAGGCCATCTCTGAGGATTCAGAGTGGGGTGGGGGATTAGAGGGTGACGCACGCTGGACCACACACTGTCCTGTCTCTTCCAGGCCAAGAGGGTGGACAGGTTCTCCTGCCTCCTGGTAGTTCTGTGCTGTGCTGTCTCCTCCCACCCATCTCTCCTGTCCCACACTTACCTCTTTTCCATCATCCTCTGGCCCAAACTTCAGCCTCAGACTCTCTTCAAATTCCTCATCTGTCCAGTAAAAGAGGACCTCCGCACCCTCTGTGGCCACCAGGACGCACTTCATCTGCCAGGGAGAAGCAAGGTCCAGGTCACCTCCCAGCTCCCACACCCTTGGGCTCGGCCTGAGTAATGAAGAGGATGGTAATCCCAGCAAACATCTACTGAGCCTTCACTGTGTGCCAGGCTCCACCGCACGGGCCTCCTGGTGTTATTTCATCACACCCTCACAACAACCTGATAGAACAGGACGCTTCAGTTCCTCCCGTTTTACAGAACACCATGTGGCACAGCTTGAAGTGGCAGAGCTGGGATCCTACCCCAGGCCTGTCTTCTGACCCCTCACCACAGCTTTAGACCTACCACGGGCCTTCTGGAACCGACTGTAAGGAGGGACCCAGCTCTGGGTCTGGACACTAGTCCAGTGCACAGGAGGCAGGACTCTCCTGGCTCATGGCAGAAAGCCTGGTCTGGAATGGAGGGTGGGTGGCTACTGAACCTCCCTCTGGGCAGTTCAGAAGTATGTTCCTTCTTGAATCAAAAACAGCCCAGAAGATGAGCTTCAAAGCCCCCAAGGAGTGGAGTCAGCATTACAGGAATTTCATTCACACCTTCCTCCTTCCTGGGTGGAAACAGAGGCTGCCTGACATTGTTCATGTTCATTCTCACATCTGTTTAGATGCTGCGTCTGTGCCCACATCCACCAGTGTTTCCGGCCCTTCCAAACCTCCTTCCCCACCACCCACACACGTACCCTGTGCCACATGTTTTAAGGGTTAATTATATAAAATGTGTTTTATTATTCCCCAAATGGTAGATTCTGAATTCAGAGCTTCCCGCACTGTGTCTTGGCCCCTGGGGTACAGCAAGATGAAGATCCTCTCAAACTTGGAGAAGCCTGCCCAAGCCTGGTGAGGCCAGAGCGCTCAGGCCAGCTGTGTGCAGCTGAAAGAACCCCAGGGAGGAACTTCAAACCTCCCCGTGTACCTCAGTGTGCCACACAGCCATGGCCACGGTGCACGTGTGCTAAGACGTGATCAGGAAACCCTGCTCTGACTCTTCCACAAGTGGAGGTCCAGTTTCCACAACAGGATTATAGCATTTCGAGGTCTTGGACTCATTTACACTCATTAGGATGCCCTATATGACCAACTTAGTGATACTTACTGAATTCCCCCCCAATCCCCAGTTAGTTTATCAACTCTAACTCAGAGCACCCAGCCTCAAGGTGTTTCCACACAGTGAACACCAGAGAATGCAGCCTATCCCCGTGGAACTGCTGAACACAAGGCAGAGACTGGGAGCACAGCAGGGTGAAGAGGTGCTGGATGAGCGCAGGTGGACCGGGAAGAGGCGCTGGGACTCCCAGGTAAGAAAGAGTGACACCGTTGGGGGCTTGAAGGGCCAGCCTAATATGGGGTTGGGGTACAGTGTGCTATGGAATGGGGGTTGCAGTCAACAGCAAAGAGTCCTTTTAGGCTGGTAAGGGTGTGGGAAACGCCGTGCTGGCCATAGATGGGTAAGGTTAGGTTATGGAGGCATGTCATCCCGGTGTGGGATAATGAGGGCCCACTCCTTGGTGGAGTCCAGGAGAAGTGGAGCTTAGAGACACAGCTGACCTGGCTGCAAAGGAGGAAGGAGAGAGTAGGCAAAGGTGACATCAGGATGAGAGCTGGGGAGAGAGCACTGCAGAGTCCACGGGAGCTCAGTCCCCGGCCTGCCTCTCTGTTCACCTCCTCAGCGCCAGGGTAGCCCCAGGGTAGCCTCTGTCTGCCCTAGGAGGGCAAAGTCATCTACCTTGGCAAGGAGCACAGCGGAGCTTCCAGACAGCCAGGGGTTCAGAAAGGGCTGCAGAGGGCAGACACGGTGACCAGCTCATGGAGAGCAGCAGAGCATCCTGGGTCCTGCAAATGCTTAAAACAGAGAGGTCATGAGGGCAACCAGTTCTGACTGTTCCCTGCTGCTGGGAGTGAGCAAGGTGGTGAAGGACCCAGTGGTCAAAGGTCTTGCTCTGGCCCTGAGGCAGGCTGCTCAGACATTCTCCCCACAGCCAGGTGTCTGAGTGCCCTGTATCCCTCCACCCCACCCTCAAACAACAGAACAGGCACCTAGCCAGCAGTCATTTGGACATAGCTGGTGCCCACAACATCAATTCCCATGTACACTTTCCCTCCAAGAACTCATTTCACTGTGGGTCACTCAGAGCTGGTGTGGTCAGTGAACCCGCCCTAAGCAGCCCCAGGGAGTGCACTACGACACAGCACATTCAGATGGATAGGGAAGCAGTCCCAGAAGAGAGGAGGTGTCCTGGGATGATGTGAATGGCAATAAACCAACACAAAGGAACCTGACACCTGGTTCTCGTTTTGGCTTTGCCAAGGCACTTAAACCTCTGGGCCTCAAACTCCTGCTGCGAAAGGGAGGAAAAACCCCTGTAAATAGTGAGAGTCAGGGAGTCACCAGGCAGGATGGCCTTTAGCAAACTGCTTTCTTCCACAGAGGTTGGGGGATGGCGGTGTCTTGATCCTTATTTCCCAGGTGCCCTTCATCAAATAACAAGATGAACTAAACTGGGACCAGATCATTCACATTTTGATGATACAAGACAGGAATAATAGAAAACTTTAGCCCAATTAGGAAACCAAACATTGTAAGCCAATTAGAGGCAAGAAAGGGCTTTTTAGGGGCTCAGCATTCTTGTGCAACCTAACTCAGCCCTGCCACACCGCCGGCCTGGCTGGCCTGAACGCCACCTCCCCAGAAAAATGGGGATGCCTGTTAGTGAACATTAGGTTCTCTTTTCTTATTCCAACAGGCGATACGCGCACCTCCCCGGTCGCTCCGCTCTCCGCCCTGCGCTCGGGAGGGAGCTCGGGCTCGTGGGAGCCCCAGGCGGCGCCGGCCAGCCGGGAGGCCCGGGCGCCCACGCCCGCCGTCCGCCCGCAGCTCCGTCTCCGGCCTCGCAGCCGGGCTGCAGGCCCCAGGACGGGGAGCCCCGGGGCGGGACGGCGGCTCCCGACGGCCGGCAGCCTTCCCGTTGGCCCGCTGTTTCCGCGGCAGGCTCCCCCGCGCCCCCGAACCTCACAGCCCCCGGAGGGAGGCCCGGCTGGCGCACGCCGCCCCACTTCGTGGCTGCAGAAGCTTGGGCTCCGAGAAGTGAAGCGACCGGAACACGGCCACTGGGCGGGTGGGTGAGGCTGGGGTGGCACCGCGCCCCCACTGCCGGGAGGGCCGCGCGGGCACGAGGAACCCCGGAGGCCCCGTCCCCGATACCCGCCCGGCCGGTCCGCGGCCCCAGCGCGCTTCCGGGTGGGGCACGTGACTCCCCACGTGACCGGCCTGTCTCCCGGGCGGGGCGGGGCCCTGCCGGCCGTCTGCCCCGCAGAGCTCTGACTCCTGCTGGCCGCGGTCACCTTCCTGTTGTCGAGGCAGGCGCCGAGGTCCAAAGGGCTGGGGGCCTCGTCCACGGCCGGCGGGGAACCGCTTCGTCCCGCACTGTGCCGAGCCCCGTTCAGGAGATTTCCTTTGAGGCCGCAGGAACATCCCCGTTCACAGAAGAGGAAACTGCGGCCCCAAGATAAATAACTTGCTGAGGAGGCCCAGTTAGGATGCGAAGCCAAGTCTGTTGGCTCCAGGCTGGGCTCTTTCCCACTGTCTGGCTTCACCTGCGAACGTCAGCTCTGGAGCAAGAGCGGAGGGTTCCCCTGGGCCCTGGGGAGGAGCCAGCCTGCAGGGGGCGCAGTTGCCCCAGTGCCAAGATGGCATTTCTTTGTGTGGTCTCAGCCCATTGGGAGTGTGTGTGTGTGTGGGGGGGGGGGGTGTGATTGCACCTAAGGGGCTTTGTTTTGAACCTGTGTTTAAATTGTGTGTGTATTTGTAGTGGCTGAAGGTGGGGAGAGCTGATTAAGGTCATGGAAGGGACTAAATCCCCACCTGAGTCACCCCTTAGTGCCCTGGAGCCTCCTGGGAGCTTTAAGCACAGCTCAGTAGGGGATGAGTTTCAGGGATTGTCTGCTATACAGCAAATAGAGTAACCCCACTCCCCAAGGCAGGGGCCAAGAACTAATGCCTCCACCAGCTACAGACAAAGCAAGCATCGCTCCTCTCCTTCCCCCATTCACTGCCCATCCCTTCTAGCCCACTTTGGGGCCCAAACCTTCCAACGTCCCCCCCCCCCCCCATCTATAGCTCATAGGCCAACCACAGGCATTTCTCTCCCGTGCATAGTTGAGATCTTCTGGCTGTGCACTCTTTACCTTGTTATTTCCACTCACCATGTTTCTCTCGCATCAAACTCTTCGTAAGCATGAAGTTCAGTGGTTGAATACATTCCATCAAGTGAATATGGTGCGCTATTTACTTATTTGCCCCCCTTACTAGTCTATTTCCTGTCGGCGGTGAGGGCCCCAATTTCGCCACATTTTCACTAAACCTTGTTGCCTATTTTAACTTAGCTGTCTTAGTGGGTGTGAAGTGGTATCTCGTGATTTTGACTTATATTTCTCTAATGACCGATGCTGCTCAGCATCTATTCATGTGCTGAGTCATTTGTATTTCTTTGGAGAAATATCTATTCAAATCCATTGCCCATTTTAAAATTATCTTTTTTATTATTAACTGTATGAGTTTATATATTCTGGATACAAGTCCTTTATTAGATATGTGATTTGCAAAAATTCTTCTCCCATTATGTGTTTTGTCTTTTCACTTATCACTTGCAGCACAAACGTTTTCAATTTTGATGTAATTCAATTTATCTATTTGTAATTATGTCCAGGTTTTTGTGTCAACATAAGTTTTTATTTCACTTGGGTAAATACCTAGGCATGGGGTGGCTGGGCTGTATGCAAAGTGTATGTTTAGGTTTATATTAAGCTGTTGAACTGTTTTACAAAGTGCATGCACCATTTTACACTCCCCTGCCCAGCAATATTGAGAGTTTTAGTTGCTGTGTAGCCTCCTTAGCCTCTGATATTGTCTTTTTCTAACTTTAGCCATTCTAGTAGTTATGTAGTGTTTTTTATGTATGTATATCATTGTGGTTTTAGTTTCCATTTTCCTCAT